GGAAAATAACATGTAAGAAAGAGTATTTCTATCAGTAATTCAGAGTGGTGGAGAAGGTCACAGATGGACAGGAATGTTCAGACAACTTTTGCATGAGGAATTCATCAGACATTGCAAAATGTTGCCATCCATATTTTACTACATAAAAGATAATGAAAGAGCCAGGAAACCATGTTTTACTTATGAACTGAAACAAGTTGGCCAAGAATGGTCTATCACAGTTATTCTCAAACTTTAACTTGCATCAGAATTACCTGGAAGGCTGACTCTCATAAACTTCTGATTCGGCAGGTCTGTGGTAGGGCCCAGTGATTTACATTTCTTACAAAGTCAGGTGATGGTGATGCCATGGGTTCAGGTCTCACCATTTGAGAACTGCTGGTTTATCATAAAGTCCACAATATACTAGATACACACAGGTGTGCACACTTGCTTGTTGCAAATTATGACAATTTAGTTAATTCTCTACTATTGACTTTGTAAATTATACTCTCCCCATCAACCTAATGGCCAACAGTAAGACTAAATCAGGAAGAAGTTACAGCTAGTCACTTAAGAAGACCATCTATTTAAGAGCACAAATGAATAAGTTTATGAAATACATGTTTGGGTACACAAAAGTGAGGTACATCTAACAACTAGGAAATGACATTGCCCTTTAAAAGCCTTTACTTATCTTGAAGCAGACATGAATTTTGTTTTTTTTGCTTAAGAGAACACTCTTTGGACCTCTCTATACCTTAAATGGTACCCAAGATTCCATCCTCATTTTTTTTTCTCACTACTCTTCCTGAGTTTTCTTAACTACCCCCCAGCTTTATTTATATCAATGGTTAATGACTTTGTTCAGGTTAAGAAATTCCTTTGAGAGTATGATTAATGCTACAGACTTTCTTCATAAAACTAAATGTACACACCTATATACATTTTACATCCAATTCAAGACATTCAGAGATTTTTCACTCAAGTCCAAAGGCCCCAGGTTAAGGATTCCCTATCTGTATGATCTGTAATGATTCAAACATCTGTATTCTTCAGCCTTATTTTTTATCCTGAGCTTCAGTATTACATATCCAAATATCTACTTAACATCTGTTTTTGGATGTCACACAAATGTCTCAAAATCTATAGGTACAGGGCGCCTGGGTGTCTCAGTTGTTTAAGCGTCTGACTTTGGCTCAGGTCAAGATCCCACAATTCATGGGTTCAAGCCCTGTGTCAGGCTCTGTGCTGACAGCTCAGAGCCTGAATCCTGCTTGGATTGTGTGTCTCCCTCCCCTCTCTGCCCCTCCCCACTCATGATCTGTCTCTCTCAAAAATAAACAAACATTAAAAAACCTTTTTTAAAAACCTATAGGTACTGAGGAATGACTGCTTAATATGGATGGTGTTTCCTTTTCGGGTGATGAAAAAGCTCTGGAATAATTAGTGATGGTTGCACAACATTGTGAATATACTTAATTTCACTGAATTGTGGTTATATTTTTATATGGTTATAGTAGTTTCACTTGTGTATTTTACCACAATTAAAAAATCTACACTCACAAAACTGAAATCATCTCTATTCCCCATCTCTCACACCCAAAATCTGTGCGTTCTCTTGTATTTCCTTTGAACATCAGTTACTAATCATTTACCTAGTGGCCCAAGCCAGATACTCGAGAGTCATCTTGACAGTGCTCTTTCACTCTTCCATTTGTAATTAATCATGAAGTTCTGTATATTCTCTCATTAAGATTTAAATTGAGACAGTCACCTACTTCCTCTATTTCCAAAGCTTCTAGCTAAGTTCACCATTAACCTCAGAGACTCCAGTTTTCCATCTTCCCAGCCTCCAATCCTCACAATCACCCCCAGGACAAAGGCATTACTATCCCCATTTCACAGCTAAGGAGACTAAGCCTTAGAGTGTACTTGCAATTTGAACTTAGGTAAAAGTTTCTGGGAAAGAGTCCACAGTGGTGACTTTTCCTTCCCTAGATCCCTTGTATGCTGGTTATTCTATGTGTTGTGTCTCCTCCCACCCAACTCCCTCTGCCCTGTTCTGGGAAGCTGACCTCTATGGACTACATCACCCGGACTACCTTGTCCCTGAGCTCCTATCTGAGTTTTGCCAATGGAAGGTACTAGCTGGAGACCTGAGGGAAGGAAGAGAGAGAAAGATTATTTTATTTCTTTACTTCCTTTCTGCTTATTGCAGCTGCTTAGTCCTTATGGTCATAGCTCTTGTCAGGCAGTTCCTCTTCCAGATTGTAGCTGTAGGTGGGCTCTGGTAACAAGACTCCCTTCCCCTTTCCTTTCAGGCCTAGGAGTCCTACCATTCCTTTCTAGTTTCTGTTAATACTGACCATACTTCTATAAATAGCCCTTTGGTTAAACTCTCTTCAGTTAAACTTTTTTGAATGCACCAGCTGTTTTTCTGCAAGGATTTTGACTGATAAAGTAGGAAAACAATGAATCATATGTTCCTGTACTTTCATTCAACTTCTAATATCTATAATAGAGTCTCCTTCCTTTCCTGTGATCCAAAGTTTTCCATCCTTCTGAGACTACCTGGTCTTCCAAGAAATCTCTCTAAATACTGTAACCTACAGAACAATACTGTCGTTACCACTATTGTGCCGAATCTAATATGACATTAGTACTCTATTGTCCTCTAGTTCTGATTGATAAGTTTTGTCAGTCTGACCATCCCTGCAAGGCAATAAGCTCCTTAGGTGTAGGGAACTTCAGCAATTAGAATCTCTAATGACAAACATATTTTAGGGGGAAGGAACCTTAGAGGTTACCCTAACTTCCTTATTTTATAGATTGGAGGTTCAGGTTTACACAGCTATGAAATAGTGGCAAACTGAAGTCCATAATCTAGATTCTTTCTATTGCTTCATCATGCTGTGATACTACACTGGGTACTTAGTGGACACTCAATATGCTGGTGACTCACTCCTAAATGCATTCAGTTTTTGTTTGTTCAATGCTAGGCCCTGTGCCTAGATAACTATCTGGCACACAGTATGTGCTTGGCAAATATTTGCTCATTTGAACCTGCAATGAAAGACTAATTCCTTGCAGGTTAATCATATAAACTTGCTCATATAAACTCAGAGAATCATTTATAATAATAATCCCTTATACACCTGGAGAAAATGTGTATTTTTCAACGTGCTTTCACATTTAAATGAGCCCATTTGCTCCAAGGTAGACATAGCAGAAATTATTAGTCTGTTTTAACAGATACAGGAAACAGAGTCTCTGAGGAGTTAAAAATCAAGGTCCCTTTACTTGTATGTAGCAGAGCTGAGACCAGTATTCATGTTTTTTGACACTCCAATACCATTTTGACTATTCCATGTTGCTTCTTCAGGTTTGCTTTCGCATCTAGGTATAGCAGGTTCATTCAGGAAATTCATCTAAATATTCACAATGAATAGGTAGATCATACACTTGTGCTCAAATGATTTTGTCCCTTTAAAAATCCACTGTTAAAGGTATTTCTACTTCTGATTAGGTACAGTCTGCAGAATATCACCATTCTTGATTATTACAAGGCCTGTTATTTCTCTCAGAGAGGAAGGTTACCATCTGTTGTGTTCTAGAACAAGGGATACAACACTTTTGAGACATCACTTCCTGTATAGACCAGAGCCAGGTGCTTTTATAAGTAGGTGTTGGAAAAGAAACAAACAACCTCTTGTCCTTGGCGTGACCTCACTGGAGAGGGGATGACACAGTGGCTTTCTTCAAGATCAAATGCCAGAGAGGTACCTATAAATATTTTTATTGCATCCTCTCACCAAAAACACTTTGGTATAGAGTTCACCTGGGTTTTAGCTACTAGGATGATTTCTGATCCTAATCAAAGCATTGCAGAAACCAAAGACAACCTATAGATACGTTATCTATCTTCTTTGGATTTCAGTTTCCATTAAGAGCTCAAAGTATTGGCTCAGAAAAGGACCCAAACCAAAGTCCTACATCAGGGGTCACAAACTCAAATGCCTACCAGATGCCAGGCAAATAAAGCAAAGCCTACTGTAAGAAAACAAGGAGTAATAGAGTCTGTAATAAACTACAGTAAATTAACACTTGCTTCTCAACTCCAACCACCAGTTGCTTTGAGGGGAGTGTGAGCTAAGAGTCAACAGGTTTTTTTTTTTTTTTTTCATTTTTAAAACTGGAAATCCACATTTTTTAAAGTGTGAAGTTTGGTTTTAAAAAGCTACTAATTCAGGGGCGCCTGGGTGGCTCAGTCGGTTACGCGTCCGACTTTGGCTCAGGTCATGATCTCAGGGTCCATGAGTTCGCGCCCCCGTCGGGCTCTGTGCTGACAGCCTGGAGCCTGCTTCAGATTCTGTGTCTCCCTCTCTCTTTGACCCTCCCCCGTTCATGCTCTGTCTCTGTCTCAAAAATAAACAAACATTAAAAAAAAAAAAAAGCTACTAATTCAAACTTATAAGCCTGTTGCAAGCCTTGGGTAGCCAGCTAGAGTTTGACTTTTCTTTATGGAATAGGTCTCCTGTGTCATATAAAAGAATTGTAGCAAAGTGTCACTTTCAAGTCAAATGTGGGGTAAGATTTATGCCTCTCCGTGAATGCGTATAGTGTTGGGAGAAGTGGACAAACTCCATGAGTTAATAGGAAAGTGCCCTAGATAGGGATTTGGGGATCTATTTCATAAGGTAACTGAATAAATGTGTCCCACTTTGGGAAGTATTTGGTGGGGGATAAAGATCCCCTTTGTTAGGCATCTGGGTAAATAGATCTTCTCTGGAATGTCTTGGAAACCCTAAGTATACTCAAATACGAGAAGGGAGCAGTAAGCTTGAAGAGTATCGGGAGAACAGTTTACAAGAGGAAGATGGACAAGTAAAACTGCGAAGTACAGAGCTGTACGAATGTCGGTAGTACGTGGGTACAATCTCTTCTGTGTTGGGAGGGAGAAGGCAATAACCTCTCCTACGGCGCCACCTTCGGGCGCTTCTTGCTCACCATTGCTGTACCGCCGTCAACTCCAGCAGCCTCCATCTTAACGCTTTCTGCGCAGGCGCCCTAGAGCCCCAGGATCCCGCCTAGAGCAGAGCCCCGCCCCTGCCCACACCCCTCTCCTCTGGAGCCAGCCAACCGCCCCTCCCCACCAGTGTTTCTCGAAGGGGTCCTGGAGTAGTTGGCTTGTCTTTACGTACTCGAGTGCTCTCTGTGCAGGCTGCTGGGCAACAGAGAAGAAATACTCAGAGCCTGCCTTTGGGCAGATCACAGTCTTATGAGGGAAGACAGACAAATTGTAACTAATTAAAGTGTTGTGTAAAGGGGTTCAGGTTGGTTGGGTTCTAAAGGCTGCTAGTAAGTATCAAAACCTAGAAGACAGTGGAAAAGGCTGCAGGCCATTCTAGCAAGGGGGAACTCAATGTGCAAAGAAAGGCACAGAGAGGTAGAGGAGTGCACAGTGTGGTGAGGGTGAGGAGGGGTGGGGGAGGGGGAAACCGCAGGGACTTGGGGTTTAGAATAGCTACAGGATGGTGGGCAGTGTCTGCACTGTCCTGGAGGGTCTTAGAATTTTTCAGCCTGAGGGCTGTGATAGATAACAACTAAACAGCTTTAACAGGAGAGACTTACCAGAGTAGGTGAAGAGGGCAGGGGCAGCATGGAGGCAGGTGATAATCACAGTAATCCAGACAAGAGGAACTAAAGGCCACTACTCCACTTGTGGTACTGGGAAATGAGGTGAGACAGTGGATTCAACAGGCAAGTTTGAGGCAGAAATGATAGAGGGCAACTGGTTTGGGGAAAGAGAAGGAGGAAGTTTAAAAATGACTGGGGAACTGAACTGCAAGGGTTTATTTAGCAAGCAAATGGAGGGGCGCCTGGGTGGCGCAGTCGGTTGAGCGTCCGACTTCAGCCAGGTCACGATCTCGCGGTCCGTGAGTTCGAGCCCCGCGTCAGGCTCTGGGCTGATGGCTCAGAGCCTGGAGCCTGTTTCCGATTCTGTGTCTCCCTCTCTCTCTGCCCCTCCCCCGTTCATGCTCTGTCTCTCTCTGTCCCAAAAATAAATAAACGTTGGAGGAAAAAAAAAAAAATTTAGCAAGCAAATGGAAATGAGCTGGAAGACTGGAGTTAATCTGTCCTGTGCTCCCATTCAGCCCCCACCCCACAAGGGCTGAGAGACTAGGTGAGCGCTCTTCTTGCATAAGCTTCTGATTTCCAGACCAGGAGATCTCACTTATACCTTGTTTTCTCCCATATAGGAGACTTCTACTCCAGCTTTTCTTCTGGAATTTTCCCAAATGAAAGGCCAATGTGCACTCCTAGGCCTACTCCTCTGTCCTGTACTGGCAGCCTCAGCCTTCTACCAATCTCCAGAGGCACACATCTCCCCAGAAGACCCTTACCTTGTCTTCACAACATGGACTAGTTTTCACTAGCGTATGTCATCTGCTACTCTTCTGGACCTTTTGCAGGGAGCTGATGCCCTGAATCCCATGACTCTGTTAACTGGATTGGTGGTCTCAGGTCCAGGCCAAGATGCTAGCCCATTACCTGCTTTACTGCGTGGTGCTTATCCAAAACTCCTTTAGGTCCCACCACTTGTGAGGTGGTGAGGAGGGAGGAGGCAGTGAAGGGCCAGGGGTACAAAATCTACCATTATACAGGATAGTCATTTCTACAGTTTTCCACACTTTAGCAGAATTACCAGACCCCAAAGGCTGCTATAAGATAATTTATTACACACTAGCCAAAAATGTCCTGTAACAATGGCACATACAATAATTAACAACAGCAAAGATGCTTAGTTTCTTGTTTCATGTAACGGCCAGCACAGCTATGGATAACACAGAGTCCTCAGGAGGTCCAGGAGGCTGCTACCAAGGGTATCCAAGAACCGTGTCACATCTCTGATGAAGGGTCTGAGAAGTCCATATGATCTCCTGAAAGAGTTCATCTCTGACCTCCCAGAAAATGTTGAAGCCCCCTCCATCCAGCCTGTACAGAGGAATCATAGTCCAAGTTCCCTCTGTAGGGTTGAACATCTGTGAGGGGAACAGCATCTGACCTAGATGAAAGGGAGTGAGGCCAAAGACTAGATTCTTTCTGCAAAGGGGAGGACAAACAGAAGGCAGTGGCCATAGGTGAAGAGGACTCTTTCTAGACTGGTTTCTACAATTTTTGGCTTTGTTCAGGGCCTACCTAAGAAGAAAATACAGCCCTCTCTCCTGGATCCTCCAACTAGGCCTCAGGTGCATACACAAAGGAATAGCCGCTCATGTCTTGAAACATCACTGCTCCCTTTCCTATAGGAGTGAGGGAGGGGGACTCTTGGGCAGGTAGCCTGTGGTGCTTGGGTTCCAAAGAATATTCCTGCTCAGGGCTCTGAAGTTATCATGTGAACCTCATTCTACTCATGACATATAATTTGGAGAAAAGGATTAGCACAGGTCATTTCTAGAAGGTATCTTGTTCAGTTTCAAAGCCTTGTTTTCACAAAACCAGTGGATCCTGGTTTTAGACTGCTTGAGGGACAGTCTAAATTCTAATTTGTATGTTCCTGCCCTGGCATACTCCAATCCAGACTATAGGGCTCAGTGACAACTGTAGGCTCAACTGACTAGCTAACCAGGCACATGCTCCAGGCTCTCTAATGGTTCAACAAGAACCATTGCTCTTCTAATGGTTTATATGTATGGGTCTAACTGAATAAGGTGTGGCATGGAGAGGGGTCGAGATGGGATAGGGGGTGAAGGGGTGTCTACCAACAATAATGGCTGACACTCTCAGAAATGTCTGTTCTACCTCCCTATGCAGTAACCCTGACAGCCCAGCTCCTAGCACCACAGACGTGCTGGTCAGGGACTCCTGAGCCTTTCTGAGAAAATATTCTCACCACCCCAAATTTTTCCTTAAACTGAAGGAGTCAGCCTCTTGACTATGAGGACCCTAAGCTGGATATATAGTAATTCTCACTGGCCCTGATTTGTGAAACTGATGCCATCCAGTTGGCACAGGAACCTGGGTGCTCAGCTCCCCTCTTCCATGGAACGAGACTCCGATTTGAGCTTCACAAACTCCCGAGCCACTTCGTCATTGCTCCTCTGAGACAGAATCCGGAGAATAGTCATGCCTGTCTCATCCATGTGGATCTTCCGGCCCAAGGGGCACCAGCAAGCACAGCTTCCCTTGGCTGCCACATCCCTCAGAGGCATCACAGCCAGCCCCAGAACACGATCCTCCCGGGCAAAGCAGTAATCCTTCACACATATTTGCAACTCATAGGCTTCTGGCCCCTCTTCATTTCCCAGGAGGCTGTGAGCATAGGATGGGTGGAGGGAGGAGGCCAGAGCTGAAAGAGCCTTCAACTGAATTTTCCCCAGCCACCATCCAATCCATCCCTCTTCTCCCCTCTCAAGTCTTACCCCCCAGCTCACCCCCATCCCAGAGTCCTGCAGGTTCCCCACCCTGTAACTCACAAGTGGAATGTCTCATTATACTTGGGAGCCCAGTTGTTGCTCTTCGACTTGGTTGTGAACTTCCTCTTCTTATCACTTTGGTGTGGGCCAACCATGGTCACTTCCACAAAGGGCCGGAACATACCTGCTGTCTGCCACTTGAGGTCATTGGCAGCCACCACTGCCCAAACAAGAGAAGCCTGTGAGGGATCCTACCAAGTGTTCCCAATTCTTGAGCCCTAGGTGGCATTCCCCTTGGAGGAAGGCTAAGTTAGAGGACTGGGATAAGCAGCCCCTGTCTTCAACTGATGAGGCCACTGCATAAGAAAAGGACTGAGACTTGTAAGTCTGTGCCACTCACCTTTCACTGTGACCTTGTGCTCCCCAGTTCCAGGATGTGTAAACAAATCCACCTGAATAGAGATTTCTCCCACAGGATCATCCACACCAGACCCTGAAGGACAGATGGACAGTTGATCCCTCATTGGAGAACTCTAAGACATCAGGCCTAATTATCCCAGGTGAAACTGAGGAGTTAGGAAGCCCACTTTACACCCTAGAGCATGAAGCAATCACCTAAAATAGCCATGGGGAAGTAAGCAATGGGAGAAGGGAAAGGAAGGGGATAAAGAATGAGGCTGCGTATTAAAGTACATTAGACTAACAACATTTTAGGTGTAAGGTCTTCCAAAAGTGCACAAGGAATCTGTCAGTTTCCCCAAACCTCTCCTATCTCCTAGGATGAAGAATTTTTCATTGAAAGGTACTGGAGGACAGTACTGCCACCCTCTATCTTTGTCTGGGAACTAAGTCCACCCTGTGGTGTCTCAATGGAACAATGTGGGTCCCTTCAAGCCAAAAGCAACACCCTCCCACCTACCTTCAGAATCCTGAAGGTCACTGCTTGGGAGGCTGCCTTGCTCAGACTCTGTCCTACTCAAAACCTGGACCCCTCTACAAGCAACTTCCCAGACCCAATCTCTAGCCAGTCTGTAGGCTCCCCTAAGCAGACATCTCACCAGAGATAAAACTTCTGCACCCCAGATAAAACTTCTTTATCCTAAGGTGGAAGGATGGGGGAATCCCAAGGACAGAACCATTATTAACCCCATCTCGGACTGTATTAATACATCACTCATCTCTGATACTTGGGATGGAGCTTCTGAACTTTGACACATGGCTCCCCTACAGCCAGCCTAAGAAGCTCATTCTAGTTCACAGGGGACAGGTGTTAGCCTATGTTAGATTCATGTGTGCAAGGTGTACAACATAAACATACCCTTTTCCGGCCGAATGTCCTCATTAGCAGTGAACCTAATACCTTTCCCATCATGCACTGAGTGAGGAAAGGCAAGTCAAGAGGTAGTAGCAGCAGTAGGATAGAAAAGAAGAACCAGTTAGAGGTCTAAGGAGTTAAAAGCCATTCAAAGCAACTCTGCACATTTTCTGGGGGAATACAGAGATGAGGTGGAGAGGGAAATCAAACAGTTGAAGTCAGTGCCTGAATGCTCCAAATTAGACTTCATGGGTCAAGATCAATGTAATCATGGGGAAAAGCAGAATATACATAGAGAAGGTATCTGAAATCAGCAGGGCAGGAAAGAGAGACATTGCAGGCTCTAATTTCTTGGCCTTAAATAATAAAGCAACGGGTATAAAAGGTACACACATCCATCTCGATCCTCCCCCTGCAGTCCCCACCTCTGCTCTTACCTCATATGTGCCCATTTTAGCCTTTCTTCATCTTTACATCTAGCCTAAAACTCAGTATTTCTAAAAAGCCTTTTTGGATTAACTCAGATACTTCCCTGATGTTACAGGCCTTTCCATGTACAACTCTGTAAAAGATCTCCCTGTCCCCTTGAACAAGGCTCATAACTTCTTTCCTCCCTTTTCTTCCTATCCTGGACTTAAAATAAGAACAGATGTGGAAAATGGAGCAGTACTGCAGGTCCTTTGTATCTTTTCACCTTCTATTAACTCTAGTCCAATGATTTGGATCCCACTTCCCCTCCAGGTCAGCTCTGTGCTCTGGATCAAAGGCTCAGTAAGGCCTAAGTCCTCCCATTCCCTCCATCAGGTTCTCTCCTCCAGGCAGCACACCTAAGTTTCCCAGAACAAGCAATAACAAATGTGCCTGAAAGTCTTTCCTGGGAGGGCCTGGCTCCTGGGTCAGGGTCAGAATTTCAGTCTGAACCATATCTATGTAGATGTGTTTTGTTATAGAGAGGCCTGCCTGGAGGCAGGGAGGGGTTCTGAGGACTAGAAGACACTGGGAGAAAACCAGCTGCCTAGTCCCTGTGCATTAGCATCACCCATGAGGCTGGATGGAGCATCATTTATGCACAGAGATCCATTATGCCCATGATCCACACCCTCCTTTCAACTGTTCCCATGGTTTGCCTCTCCTAGTTGCTGGGGTTTTTTTTTTTTTCCCCTCTCATCCACACTAGACAATCTATAAAGTCTTTTTTTGCTTCCTCCCCCCCAGACAGTTTCCAACAAGGCTCCCAAAACTATGAGTCTTCATGAGTGTTTCAACAACTTATTCTCAAGGCTTTCCGACAAATATTTCCTAACAGGGTATGCTCTTTGAGCCGAATGAACATGTGCTAGCCAGGCAATGTCTGGGAAAAGAATTGCAGGCCCATTTACCAGGTCCCTGTGATTCTCCTGTCTGGTATGGGTACAGTGTGGAAGTGAGTATTGGGGTCCCTCAAGAAATCCTGGGGTCTGAGTTTGACAGGCTCTCTTAAGAAGTACCTGGATCCTCCTTAAGGGCTGGAAAATTTTGACTCCCTAGGGGCAGAAGTGTATCAAGGAGGGGAAGATAGGGACCTAAAGCCCTTAGGTCTTACCCTGGGCAGTCTGTGAGCGAACAAAGGTTTTGATAAGCGTGTCTGTGGTCTGTGTGTACAGAGATAGGGCATAACGTAGGGACTGTAGATCTGGGCTCTTCTCCAGGAAAGTTTTCTTCAGCCCATTACCTCCCGCGTGAAAGTATTGCTGAAAGACAAAAGAATACCTGCTACAACCCCATCCCCTTACACGGAGGCAGCTTTCCACACTGTCCTCAGAGAAATCACATCTGAGCAGAAGCTCAATGAAGATGCCAAAAAAGGATGATGAGGACAATAAGCCATTAAATAAATAACAAGATGAGGAATACCATGTAGAGTCAGAATCTCTCAGATGAAGTGTATTAGTTGGGTAGGAGCAGTAAGGGATGACCACATTCCTGGATGTGAACTTTGAAGTATGGATCTATCTAGACAGGCAAAGATCTGGAATAGAGCATTTTAGGCAGAGAGAGTAGCTAAGTACTTTTTTATCCCTCCGAACCCTTAAAGAACGTTATACTTATGGCATACCTCTCCCAAATGCCCTGCATCACACTTCATATGTACCTGCCTTATTACAGCTTTACCAAATTATAAGCATCTTAAAGCTAGGAACTATATGTGATTCTCTCTGTATCCTTCATAGTGCATAGTACCATGTGCATAGGTTTCCCAGTTGAATGAATCAATGGGTACCAGGAAAAAAAAAATCCTTTGGAAACCCAAATGAATGTATACGTAAGTGGAAGTGGGAACTTTCAGCCAGATGTGGGGTATTAGGATCTGGAAGATTAATTCCCAGTGGAAAATATTCAGGAATGGCAATGAAGAACTAAGTGAACTGAACTGTACTCAAAACCCAGGAATAAGTGCTCTGGGTCCATGGTAAGTCATCTGAGACCATACAGAATGGTCTGCTCCCAAGACCATTTTGGTTGCTCCCAAGCAGGAATATCAACATAGCAAAGAAAGAAACAGACATAAAAATCACTCCCTTCTGGATGTGGGGTGGCAAGAGCCCAAAGAACATCTAGTCTGACAGAGTAGAATGCCAATGCCAAGAGGTAGTATGACTGAGGTGGGGTAGTATGACTGTCTGGAGAAGGGGAAGGCTCCACCTTGATGGTGTCCAGAGCGAGGTCAAGGATGGCACACTGCTTCGGAGTGAGACTCCGTGTTTCCTCTCGAACCATGTGGTCCTGAAACCCCAGAGAAAGCAACAGCATCAGGACAACTTGGGGCTGTCATGAAAGTCTTTCTCCCACCTGCCAGCCCACAGTACATGTTCCTCTCATTCCCTTCCTCTTTAGTCTCCAAAGCTCACATTTCCTTCTTCCTGGCTCCCACTCACCCCCCAGCCTCAGAAGACTCCATCCATCCATAGTACCTTGAGTTTGGAAAGATTGCTCAGCTCCTTGGCAGCAGTGAAGATCAGCTGGGTGCCCTGGGCAGAAAAGAGATCAGTCAAAAGCAGAGGACTCCAAACTCGATCAGGAAGTGTGGAGCAAGATAGGGGAGACAGCAGGAGGAAGTGGAAGGGGAGTGTCCTTACCGTCTGGTCAGTGAGTGGGGGCAGAACAATCATCCTTTCCATTGTGTTCATTACCACCCGCCAGAGCTCCTTCAGTACACGCTTCAGGACTGTCTTCTCACACACAGTGGCAAAGAGTGTGAGGCTGTAGACCCACATAACAGGTAAGACTGAGAGTCTGAGAGACACCCCTCCCCAAGAGGCTTTTCGGATCGCCTCTGCCTTGCTTGTCTCAAAGGACAGTCCTGAGTGCTGTACTCACTTGCCATCCAGGAAGTCCATGAGAGGCCGGAGCACACTATCTGCATCCTGAGCCACTGAGGCCCTGGCGCTGGGGGATGCATTCCCTGGGCCCCGCACCTGGCCCAGGATGTCAGCCATTTGTCGAACACACTCATCAATCCGCACCTGAAAACTATACATGTGCCCACAGTGCAGCCCTCCCCTCCCCAAACACACATTGACCTTGGAGCAACACCAGCTATTCCGTCCCACTCCAGCACACTCTGGTGCAGCTCCAGCAGGGACAGCCAACAGGAGAAGTGGGAAGATCCACACACCTACAGCTGGATGGATAGGTGTGGGGCAGGAGTTCTGGGATTGGCCAGGGACCAGATCTCGCTCCGAGGGCTATGTGTTTTGGGGCCACTTACCTGTTTCCAAATACCATGCTGAGCTCATCCAGAACCGTATTCAGTTTCACCTGCAGCTCCTTCAAACTGTCTGCAGCTTCAGGATCCAACTGTATCCATAGAAGGTGTGTTTGGCTAAGCTGATTTTCATACCCTTTTCCTCCTTCCTGTGCCCCTAACTCCTCCCTCATAGAGCCTTTATCCCAATTCCTACTCAAATCCCTCAGCTTAAAGCAGCCCAGATCCTAAGCTAAATTCCTGGCCTATACCTGGTGAGGAGAGGGTAGAGATCTATGGCCAGAACGCTCAGGAACAAAGGTGAAGTGCAGCAACCCCACACCCCGAGACCTACCTCCTTGCCTCCCATGGCCTCAAACATTTTCTCCAGCTGGACTCTCAGTTGCTGCATGTTGTTCATCAGGATGCAGGGCTTTGGGGACAGATGGAGGTGTTGAGTCTTGACTGCTTTCAGCACAGGACCTATCAGCCTAGGGTACCTCTCTCATACTACTCCAAAAGCCACAGGGAATTTACAACACATAACCAAATACCGCTCTTCCTTCCTAATCACTGAGATGTGGAACCAATTCAGATAATTCTCCTTGAATGAAGACCAGAAGCAAATGTTTCTGTTTTTAAACCAGGTGGTGGGCCTCAGGTATTCATGGCATCATCCTTTATTAACTTTCTGTCTTAAGAGATTTTTTGCTGTGGCTGTTGTTGTTGTTAAAAAAGAAAGACTATGGGGCGCCTGGGTGGCGCAGTCAGTTAAGCGTCCGACTTCAGCCAGGTCACGATCTCGCGGTCCGTGAGTTCGAGCCCCGCGTCAGGCTCTGGGTTGATGGCTCAGAGCCTGGAGCCTGTTTCTGATTCTGTGTCTCCCTCTCTCTCTGCCCCTCCCCATTCATGCTCTGTCTCTCGCTGTCCCAAAAATAAATAAACGTTGAAAAAAAAAATTAAAAAAAAAAAAAAAGAAAGACTAAGTAAAGATCTAGCTTAGTAGAAGATAAAGTACCAAATAGAGGCTCAGAGGAATTCCTAGTCAAGTTCTTCTCTTATGTGGCATAATCTCAAGCAAAGCCCTACTAGGAACCAAAAGTCAGGAATATCATCCCCACCCTCAGCTCTGAGGATAGCCTTAAAAGCAAGGAGGATTCAAATGTCTTCCATTCTCTTCTCTAGGGTCCCAGGGCCTGACCCTCACCATTTTCTCCTTTTTGCAATAATCTGGGAAGCTCTTTGATAAGATGTCTGCATACTGCATCAGCACCTTCCCGATGGTCTGAAAAAAGAGGAGAAAAGGAAAGGAGAGGGAACCCTTAGCTCTCCCCACAGGGATCTTGCCTGAGGTCATATCCCTCATCCCAGAACAGTAACAAAAGGAAGGTAGAAGGGAATCTCACAATAAGGGGACAAAGCTTCCTCTCAACCCCAGAAGACAAACCCCCAGTGTGCCCCAGACACAAGCAAATGAGAAGGGGGTAATTGCCAGAGTTCCCCTGAAGGACATCACAGAGAGGAACTGTGCTTGGGCCTGTGACAAGGCCATGAGCCTGGTAGTGGCAAATGGAAAGGAGAAGGGAGAGTCATGGTCACCTTAGCAAATCTCCTCATGTAGTGGGCTAGGATGTTGGGGTCTGGGCATTCCAGCTTCCGGATGATCTCAAAGCTCTGGTTGAGCTGTGTGAAGACGTCCACCACAGAGCAAGAAAAGAGCGCATGCTCTGATGTCTGCTGGAACTAAGGAAGGCCAACAACAGGATCATCATCTTCAGCCACTACCTTTTCCCAAGTGTGCAGGGCTCAAAAGGACTCTGCCCAGCAGGAGTGGCTCTTTGGCCCTCAAAAGCCCTCCCTATGAATTCCACAGGGCAAGGAACTAAAGCCCTGGAACTTTTGCTGATAGCTAATTGCTGGGAGACCTGGCCTGACCCATGGTGCAGTCCAAGCTTCCAACTTACCCCATCCTTCTTATCTCGTTCCAGGGCCCCACGTAGGAATTCCAGGGACACATCTTCATTCTCATCCAGCCACTGCAGGACAAACTGCTCAAACCACCTGCAGCCAGGCAGGAGAATTGGGGGTTGGAGCAAGTGGTTGGCAAATGCTATGTGCCTAACAGCTACCCCAGACTCGGGTCTTCTGGAAAGTAGGGCATGGTTTGATGCTTTTCTCTTTCTACAACAGAGCCCAGAACTGGCAGTCTCAAGACTGGCTTACTGAACTGAATTGAAGACAATAGTCCTGCCCACCCCTAAAATGGAGGGGCCCCCTTCCCTTCCCTCTGTAGTGCCCGCATGATGACTCACACTGGGTACTCAGGCACCTGCCCCTGGAGGGCAGGCAGATCTCGCACGTATTCATTGTGGAGCCACTTCACCTTGAAGTGTAGGTTCATGTAGTCAGCACTCTTACACAGCCGGTCTTTCTCATGCTCTAGTGGTGGGGAAGGAGGCTGGGGTCAGGTCCCAGCAGTAGGAGCCATGGTTCCTGAACTTTCCCAAAGCAGCAGATCCGGTCGGGCCGCTCTATCAGATGTCTTAGAACAAGGGTGACTCCCAATCACTTCCTTACAACCATTTCCCCCAACCAGTACTCTGCTCTCCAAGAGCCTGGCCTAAATCTTCCTTTAGAGACTAAGCCAGACTCCCAGATAAGGCCTACAGTCTTCTAGCTGCTTTAGCTTTTGGAAGTGTCAACTGAGTAAATGGCCCCTGGTAAAGAAGGCCAGAGGGTGCTAATGTTGATTAGTGAGGAGACTGCCCAGGACTAGAGCAGGATGGAGGTTCCCTAGGACTTCACTGATCCTAATAGCTGGGCCATTCCCTCAGATGGGCTTAGATGCAGAGATGAATAGCTATACATGGTATGAAAGGGTCATTGACAACTACACAGAGACAGGGAAAACCAAATTGGGCCCACTTTGATAGAAAGAGCAGCTGAACAGCCAGAGTATAACAGCATCTTGAAGTAAACTGAAGGGCCCCGGAGCACAGCTGAGAGACTGAGAAAATGAACTCTCAAAGAAGTATGCAAATAAGAAGAGTCAGTTTGGAAACCGTGGAAACACAACCAGATGAAAGGGCTATCATGATGCAGAAAATGGGATGCTTATTATGGACTTTTAAGGTCATCTAGCTGGATCTCCAGAGTCTTCTGGAAAATCCAGGACAAACATCTCCCATAGCTTGCCCAGAATGTCTGGAGCACTGGCAACAACCACATGTTCTCTTCATCCACCCCCTTTATAGATAAAGCATTAATCTGAATAATAAAAGCCTTATATATAACATAATGGTAAAAACAGGCAACTGGGTAAGAGTACTGAGCAATAGAGAAAAAAAAAGGGCTCAGGGTCCTTGTGAACTCTACTGCTCAACTTTGAGTTGCTATGGGTGATGCTCTTCCATGTCAAGGCAGAAATCCAGTCTGGGGCAGTTGGCGCTTGTGAATTAGTACAACACACACTCAAGGAAGAAATGGGAAGCTGGGATTCAGTCTCAAAAGGCCCCCAGTCCCAGGAAATTTCATCTCCTGGTACAGCAGGTAGCACCACCTCCAGGACATCAGAGAGACTTCTCAGGGCTTGTCCCTTTGCTTTCCACCCACACTCTGCTGTCCTTAAACCAGTCCACGAACCTGGAAACATCAAAAGGCACCAGGAAGAGGGCTCTGCTTCCTTTATGTTCAGTAACCCACTAGAAGTGGAGGCAGAGCTGCTCCATCACTCCAAACCTCCCGAACTGCTTTCTTATAGAGACCAAGGTACTATATTTATTTAACTACCACTTTCTCTGTCAACCCATTATCTGTACTCTGGTCCCAAATCCCAATTTTTATATTAACTTCTGTGGTATGAAAACAGGATGACTGGTAAAATGCTGGTTGCGCTTTATTCTAACAAGTCCCACGGAGTCCTGCTCCAATAAAGTTGCTCGAGGTTGTTGCTGGGAGGTAGAAGTATGGGGGTGGTTAATCTTTCAAAATGGACAATCAAGTCTCTAAACCTTCTCCTGCCCCTGATTTCCACATTCCTCTCTCCATTCATTCATCTTTCATCTTTGAAGAGTTCTTTCAACCTCATGATTTCACTTATCTAGCTTGCTGGTATCTCCCCCAAATCTCTCTTTGGTTCTGATAATGTCTGCATAAGGCTTTGATGGAACATCTCACTTTGCCAGGATTTAACTCTAGCCCCCATCTTTCAGCATCTAAAATCTCTGGCTGAACTTTAACAGAGTATACATACTAATCATAGCCTCTTGTTCAATGCTGAGCTTCATCCTCAAGTCTTCCTTCCTCCTCTTGATTCACATCCAGTTAAATCACCAGTCCCTGCTGATTTTACCTCCAAAATTTCTCTGGAATCTAACCATTTCTTTTACCCAGTCACTTGCTAGGTCTTGTTACCACCATTTCTGACCTGGATTACTACAATAGCCTCCAACTTGGTCCTTCCTCCTCCAATACAATTTCTTTCTTTTCTTTTTAAAAAATTTTTAATGTTTATTTAAATTTAACAAATTTTAAACTTTTTAGTTGTTTATTTATTTTTGAGAGAGAGAGGGAATGTGAGCAGGAGAAGGAGACACAGAATACAAAACAGGCTCCAGGTTCTGAGCTGTCAGCACAGAGCCCCAAGCAGGGCTCAAACCCACAAAGGGCAAGATCATGACCTGAGCCCAAGTCAGAGACTCAACCTCAACCGACTAAGTCCCCCAGGCGCCCCTCCTCCAACCCATTTTCCATACAACAGCCAGCGTGAGTGGCCTTTCTATCTTATAAACCTGATCATGTGAACCCCTTAACAAAGGATTGCTATTCACTGGCTCCAAACTGCCTTAGGGTAAGTCCAAAAGCTTAAACATGGCTTACCACCTCCTTTATGACCTGGCTCTGTCCTACTTTTCTATCTTGATGTCCTATTTATCTCTTCCCCTACACTCTAACGTGCTAGTCACACCGAACTACTCCTTTCAGTTTCCCAAACATGACAGCTTTCTAGACCACACATCTCTGAACATACTGTATCCTCTTCCTAAAATGTTCTGTGTCTCCCTTTCCCATCACTACTACCTCCCCTCCCCACTGGCTAAGTCCTACCATCCTTCAGGTTTCAGTTTGTATATCACCTCCTCCAGGAAGCCTTCCTAGATCCTTTTCTCAGGTTCTCCTAGAAGTCTTCCTGGGTGTGGATTACATTGCTCTCCTCTCAGCACCCTATGCTTATTCCCTTCATGGCTCTTAGAACTTTAAACCATAACTGCCAATTTTTATGTCTGTTGTCTAGAATAGTATGTGAGCTTCTCAAAGGGCTGAGCTTATGCCTCATTCATCTCTTTGGGGTTCCAACAATTAGCACAGTGCCTAGCACAAAGAAAATACTCAACAAGTATTTGGTTAACGGGCTGGGGATCTATTGCAAAGGGGCAAGAAGAAACTTTCTGTTCTATATTTTAATTGGGGTAGTGGTTATACAGGTGTGTTTATTTGTCAAAACTAATCAAATTATGCTCTTAAAGGGTTTTTTATTTTATGTATGTAAACTATACATTTGCATGTATAATGTAAATGTATAAGGGTGGAAGGGCGCCTGGGTGGCTCAGTTGGTTAAGCATCCGACTGTTAATTTCGGGTCAGGTCATGATCTCATGGTTTGTGGAATCAAGCCCTGAGTTGGGAATTCTCGCTCTTGAGATTCTCTCTCTCCCGCTCTTTCTGCACCTCCTCCACTCAGGTGCATGTGTGCACGCACCCTCTCTAATAAAATTTTTAAAAATGGGTGAATGGTAGCATTTTCACAGTCAGAGTTAACACTATCCTTTTATCATCCAGGTCTCCAAACTCCTACCCTTCTCTTGCCCTCCACATTCTGACAATTATGAAGTCCTATTACAACCTCCTTCCAGGAGCTATCAAAATGCATTCTTCCCTCTTCAATTCTCTGCTCTAACCTCAGCCCCATCCCCTCAGCCCTAAATTATTACAATATTATCTGCAGTCCCTGCTTCTCGTCTCTCCTTGTTCCACCTGCCCCCATTTTCCACTAAGGTGAAATCTTATAAAAATACTACTTTGCTTACACTGCATCTCTGCTCATGAGCCTATAACGGTTTCTTACTGTCCTTAACAAGATTTATTCAGTGCTGAGTAAATGCCATGCAGTATGCTAAGTATATTAATATGTCTCAGTTTCTTTATCAGCTCAGTGAAATAGATGCTATTATCACTCCCATTTTATGGATGAGAAAATGTGAGCTCATAAAAACTGGTCTAAGAACACACTGCTGATTAGGTGGTGAAATTGAGATTTGAAACCAGGTCAACTTTCTTTCTTTTAGAGCAGTTTTCAATTCTTTTGTGTTTGTTGCAAACATTAGCAGAACTCCCCTTTAAAAAGAAGTCTTACCTAGAATCTCATATAAGATTGATAAAAAGCAGAATTGACTTAACTAGCACCGGGTAAAAAACCTGGAGCCCAGCACCCTTCTCCCCCTGCCCCAGTTTTCCCTTTTCACTTAGCTCCTAAGATACCTTTGTTTGAAAACCTCTGTCCTACCTCATACTATCTTTGTGAACCTGGCTCGCTTTTCATAGGTATTTCTTTTTTTCCCCTCAAAACCCACCAGAGCTGGATTCTTTAAGAACTGGGACTATACTCACCCCCATCAGGCTTGCTAAGTGCTGCCTGGAGAGGGACAAGTGACTTCCTCACTGACATGAAAGGCTAAGGCCTGGGCTACCACCCCAGACTTGACCCAATGTGGGCAAGAGGCAGCCATTGCTTTGGGGCAGAATTCCAGAATGTGCATGTACAGACTGTGGCTGTCTCAAACTTAAACACTGATCTTCAAGGTTTCTTTCAACCTCAAAACTTACTGCTTTTAAACCTCAAAAGTTTAAGTCTGAGGGTTACCCACAGTCTGGCCACGCCACCAGAATAACAGATCCAGACTCTGCTTTGTCCTTGCCGCCAGGCTGCTCCCCTTTTTTTCTAAGTCAATTCACACAGACTGAGGATACAGACTAACATATATAAACAGATGGGAAAGGCAGCTTAATAAGTGAACACCGAAGGGTACAAATGGGAAGGCTGGACACAAGCAGACAGTGATATCTTTGTGGACCAAAGTAAGAAATAAGCTGAATGAACAAGATCAATAATAATTTGTCCATCACACTACTTTATAGGAGAAGCGAGGGAAGTATCATCTTTTTGGCTCTGTCACGCCAATCCAAAATAGCTTTTAAGGAAAGCCAGGCTAGGCAGCCTCCGGTAAGAGAAAATAATCCTATCTGTGTAGTTAAGGTTCTGTGATTCTTTAAAACTGTAAAGATAAACTTCATATGACCATTCATACCCCAAGGAGTGGGCCACTTGAGTATCCAGCATGGGAAGAGATGCTCTCTGGGCTGGGGAACGTCTTAAACAGGGACGTGTTCTAAAGCTGGAAGGGGGAGTCCACATCCACACAGCCATTTCCATTATTAACTTGGCTGAACCTTTGCCTACCCAAGGACTCCTGAGGCCTATGCCTAGAATCCCTCTAATTTCTCTGTACCATTCACCCAGAACTTATAGTTGTCTGGGAGAAGAAAGGGACAGTAAACAAGGTGGTTGGGCAAGGAGCCTATAGACCACTGCTTTGGGCACACCCTTACCCTCCAGTGCATATTTCATGTCTTGGGCAAAGAGCTGCCACATCACTTCTGCGCTGACTTTTCCCACATTCAACTCCTGAGGAAACCTGGATGATGGAAGAAGCCACAGTCAGAGAACAAAGCAAGAGCTATTTGATTTGACTGATTCCAAAGCTGACATGCCTAATCTCTTGGAGGTCAGAATGAAGAGAGGAGAAGCCTAAGAAACAGGGCTAGGTTCAATCTGGAGAAAAGGGACCCAGGAGCCAGTGGAAGGACAAGTGGGGGCAGAGAATTCCCTCAAGCAAGGTGGGCCCAGGGGAGAGGATGCCCAGAAGGCAGGGATTTGAGACCCAGAGAAGTGTTGAGTATAGAAGGCAGGCCCAGGCTAAAGAAGATGGAGGAGAAAGTGTGAGGGGGTGGACGTAGAAAGCCCACTTTATTCACAGTGGACAGACACATACACACATGGTCTCTGGATCCCCTGGGACTCCTACGGCAGCCATTCCCAGGGGCCTCTCACTCCAGGGAGGCTGGCTCAGTCTGGGCAGGGCCCCCCATTATGTTTCCACACCTGTCTCCAGAAACAGTTACTCAGACAGATACAAGGGACAGAGGGACAGACGGATGTACAGGAGGAAGAGGTGGCACTGCAAACACACAGAGATAGGAAAGAAAGAGGCTGTTAGACAGATGGACAAGCCAACCACCAACCACACAGGGCCAAGTGGGTTGATACGCACTGGTTCAGAATGAGTGTGTAGGAATTCTTATCTTCCTCTATGATTGACACAATGAGTGTGATGAGTTTGGGCCAAAAATCCAGGTTCCGAATGCTGGGTCCTTGTTCCTCTGGAGGTAGCTCCTGTTTCTTGTTGCAGGGGAGATGGTGAGAATCAGAGTAGAATGTGCAGAATGTCTCCAATCTTCCTCTTTCTCTTCCCTCCCCACACCCCTCTTCTAGAATCAGGTACCCTTCCTCTTCTAAGCCTGTCTTCCACAAGACTGCCCATGTTCTGTCAGAGGGGTGACTGTTGGGAGGTCCTTATACACAAAGAGTCCATCCCAGAGAACTTCTCCAGCTCCAGGGCACTGATGTGATAAGCTTGGTCAGTCTAAAGGACATAAGGATGCCTGTCCCCATTCTTCATTCTCTCAGTAGCTAGGAGTATGGTGACTCTTTGGCCAAAGTAAGTTGCCCCTCCAGCCTTACTAAGTAGGTCTAGTTCAACGTGACCCCCTTTGGCAGTCTCCTCTGACACCTTCCCTACATCATCACATGCACGTATACATTACAAGCTCTGAGAAGCTCCTTTAAGTTCTGCAGGAGCTACTGAACAGAACTAGCATGAAAGTGGGTCTAACCTTCAGGGGGTTAAGGACTTCCCTTAACCTCATGAATGCTATTAGGAGGAAGAACTGTATCTAGGAAGCTCTTCTCCTAGCAGTATAAGAAAAGTTCTTGGGGAACCAAGAATACTCAATGGGGATAAGATACTCTCTTCAATAAATGCTGTTAGGATAAATGGATATTCACATGCAAAAGAATGAAACTGGACCCCTATCTTCTACCACTCAACAAGAGTTAACTCAAAATGGATTAAGGACTTAAATATAAGACTTGAAACCATAAATCTCCCAGAAAAAACATAAGGAAAAAGTTCCTTGACAATGGTCTTGGCAATGAATTTTTGGGTATGACACCAAAAGTACAAACATCAAAAGCAAAAATCAACAACTGGAGGGGTGCCTAGGTGGCTCAGTCAGTTAAGCATCTGATCTTGATTTTGGCTTAGATCATGATCTCAAGATTCATGAGAAAAGGGACCCAGGAACCAGTGGAAGGACTGGCTGCCAGCACAGAGGCTGCTTGGGATTCTCTCTGCCCTCTCTCTCTGTGCCCCTCCCCCCACTTGCTCTCTTTCTCAAAATACACAAACTTTAAAAAATATAAATAAAATATATATTTTTTTAAAAAATCAACAAATGGGACTACATCAAACTGAAATGTTCTGTAGAGCAAAAGAAACAAAATGCAACGGCAACCTATAGAATGAGAGAAAATATTTGTAAACCATATATCTGATATAGAATTAATACCCAAAATATAAAGAATTCATATAATTCATCAATAGCAAAAAAGCAATCTGATTAAAAATAGATAGAAGAATAGGCACTTCTCCAAAGAAGACATACAAATGCCCAGCAAGTAGAAGAAGAAGTATTCAATATCACTAAACACCTCGGAAATGCAAATAAGAACTACAAAGAGATGTCACCTCATACCTGTTACAATGAATATCACCAAAAAGAGATAACAAATGCTGGCCAAGATATGGAGAAAAGGGAATCCTGGTGTACTGTTGGCAGGAATGTAAACTGGTATAGGCACTATGGAAAACCGTTTGGAGGTTCCTCAAAAAAGAAAAAAGAAAACTACTCTATGATCCAGCAATCCCACTTCTATGTATATATTCAAAGGAAATGAAATGACTATCTCAAAGAGATATCTGTACCTCCATGTTTGTTGTAGCATCATTCACAATAGCCAAGACATGGAAACAAACTAAGTGTCCATCAGCGGATGAATAAAGAAAATGTGCGGGGTGCCTGGGTGGCTCAGTCAGTTAAGTGTCCAACTCTTGGTTTTGGCTGTCATTTTCCCACAGTTTTGTGAATTTCAGCCCCACATTGAGTCTCTGCTTGGGATTTCTGTCTCCCTCTCTCTCTGCCCCTTCCATCCTCGGGCTGTCTCTCTCTCTCAAAATAAATAAATTTTTTTAAAAGTTAAAAAAATGTGGTATGTAACTATAATGGATTATTACTCCGCCATAAAAAAGGAAATCCCAGGAGCACCTGGGTGGCTCAGTCAGTTGAGCATCTGACTTCAGCTCAGGTCATGATCTCACAGCTCATGAGTTCAAACCCCACAGTGGCCTTTCTGCTGTCAGCGCGGAGCCCACTTCGGATCCTCTGTCCCCTTCTTTCTCTACCCTTCCCCTGCTTGCACGATCTCTCTCAGAAATAAACATTTAAAAAATTTAGAAAAAAAGTAAATCCTGTCATTTGCAACAACATGATGGATCTTGAGGACATTATGCTAAATAAGTCAGACAGAGAAAGACAAATACTATATAACCTCACTTATATGTAAAATCTAAAAACATCCAACCCATAGAAACAGAGTTAGAATAGTGTTTGGCAGGAGATGAGGGGTAGCGGAAATGGGGAGATGGTGGTCAATGGACACAAACTTTTAGTTAAGATGAGTAAGTTCTGGTGATCTAAGGTACATACAGCACGGTTGACTACAGCTAACAATACTGTACTACATGGAAAGATGCTATGAAGAGTAGAGCTTTAATGTTCTTACCATAACCACAACAAAAAAAATGACAATTATGTGAGGTGAAGGCCTGAGTTAAACATTTCATGATATACACTTGTATCAAATCATCACATTGCACATCTTAACCTACACAATGTTATACGTCAATTATATCCCAGTAAAGCTGGGGGACAAAAAAGGACTGGATTGGGAAGAAGTAAAGAAATACAATGGTGAATTTCAGGAAAGGAGAAGCAACTCTACATTCAGACCACAGACAGGACAAGTAGGGGTCACCACACAGAGGCTGGAATGGACATTTATCTCCCACTGGGACAAAAGCAAAGTTGAAACCACCCAAAAGAACAGGGATAGGACTTTTATGTGGGATGCCATATGTCATCACAGTCTCCACAATCCTTAATAAGGGTGCATTATCAGGAAGTTAATAGAAACCAGGACAGAACTCACAGAATATGTGGATTCTGCCTGCTTAATATCACTTAAATATATCTCTTCCTTGAACTCTTTCTGCCACTACCCTATCGGTATCATTCAAACATCTCCTAACTAGTCCTTCTTCCATGCAGCTGTTAGTGATCTTTCTGCAAGGAGAATCTCTTTGTGTGACTCCTCTGCCCTTCAATGACCTTCAGTCAAGGCCTTCAATAAATTTCAATTCCACAGTTTGACACAAAAGGCCTTCAGAATATGACCTCTCTCTCAACCCCACACCTCACCAATCCCTTGCAGCCATCACCACCCCACTACCACCACTTATTTAGTGGTTATTAGGTGCAAGACACCCTGCTAAGAACTCTACACGCATTGTCTCATTTAATCCTCATAACAACTCCACTGGGTAGAAATTATCACCTTCATTTTACAGAGGAGGAGACTGAAAGCAGTGACGTTATATGACTTGCCCAAGGTCATGTGGCTATAAACAGTAGAACCAAGATCTGATCCCAGAGAGCTGAACTCCAAAGCCTGACACTGTAACTACCCTAATTAAACTGCTTATATTTCTTCAAATTAACACACTCATTCACAATTGTGTCTCTAAACATTCTATTACCTCTATATGGTATCCTTCTCTTCCCCAACCCCTTTCATTAGCCAACTCCTACTCATCCCTCAAAATTCAGGTTGAGCTTTACCTTTTCTGAAAGGTTTTCCTTGATACCCCTGGTCTGATTAGATGCCTCTCTTCTGGATTCCCAGAACACCCTCTATGAACTTTGGTATAGATGTAATAGGCAACTACAACTACAATGAAATGCAGTAATAATAAATTTTAAAAACCCAATATATCCATTAATTTGCACCCTCCCCCACCTTCACCAAACAATGAGCTTGCCAAAAACAGAGATGTGTCTTAATTAACTTTAAATCACTACATGTTCAGTTTGTTAAGGGAATAGATGGATGAATGAACCAATGACTGAAGGTGAATAGAAGGAAATAAAAAAAGATACCAATGGTTTACTGCAGTGTAAATAATGAATAATGAGAAAATGATAATGAAAAAAAGTAAAAAAAACAGCAAAACTCAAAGGCTAAATAAAGTGCCTGAATGGTTTATAAGCTCTCTTTCAAAAAAAAAAAAAAAAAGTATTTATTTATTTATTTTAGCCTTTATTTTTGAGAGGGAGAGAGAGCATGATCAGGGGAAGGAGCAGAGAGAGAAGGAGACACAGAATTCGAAGCAGGCTCCAGGCTCTGAGCTGTCAGCACAGAGCCCAATGTGGGGCTCAAACTCACAAACCATGAGATCATGACCTGAGCCGAAGTCTGATGCCCAACTGACTGAGCCACTCAGGCACCCCGCTCTCTTTCAAAGTCCATGTACATCTCATGTTAGGGAATAGGGACTAAATATTCAGATAGACCCCTGCATAGTTGAAAAATCAAAGCTGAGAACAGTGTCTTCCCCAACCAAGGTGAACCCATAGATGGATGACAGAGTGTGGCAAGTTGAACAACGGCCCCAGGAAAACCTCCCATGAACTTCAGAACCAATGAGGTTTTACAAACCTTAAAAGAAGGAAGCCTTAAAGATAGAGTTGGCACAAAAGTACCCTTAGGAATGGGAGGAGGCAGTGTGAACAAGATTTTAGTCTTGACTGAGGTGCTCCTAGGAAAATTACAAATTGGATGTATTCACCAATGGGTAAACGTCCAAGAGATTTAGGCTGTCCTCCCATCATTTGTTGTCCAAATCCTACTGCCTCTTAAGGTCTATGTCAAATGCCCTTATTCTATGTAGTACCCAGTACCTGATCAAGAGTGAATTCTTCCTTCTTCGAATCCTGCAATTTCATTCCTTTTTCAAGGCACTTCTAACAGACTTCTTTGATTAGAATTATATATATGCTTATGAACTGAGAACTAATTGAAGGAGCACTATGCTTTCCTCAGACCTGGCTTATTCAATACATACTTGTTGGACTAAAGGGAATCTGTTTTGCAAATGTGTGGTCTGCAGAGTTATTAAAGACAGAAGCTGTAATTGAGTAACTAGACCCAAAAAGAAGCCCTGGCTGTGAAATGAGGAAAAAAAGATACTATTGAAAGGATCTAGAAAAATGTACGCAGTCACCAGGTACTAGGTTAGGATGTCAGTATAAAACAGGTGAAACAGCTCAGCCTCACAGAAGGACAGAGTTGGCATTTGACAGTCAGCTGATGAATATATCTCAGAAGACCATGCAGTGCAGGGATAAGTGGTCAGAGGTAAAAAACTTCCATCAGCCTGTAATTCAGAGAGATAGTTATGGATCTCAGAAGAAGTCAGTCTCGAACAAATTAAGCTTGGAGGAGCAAAAAAGATTCTGAGATGGACTGAGAATTCACCGACTCACCCCCTAAAATTGCTCAAATTTTGGTCACTTACTTTAGTACCTAACTAAAACTTAACCGTTGCCACTTCTGTTCAACTCAGTTATGTCACATCTTGTCCAATGGTCCCTATCAATCCACAAATGTCTCATATGGTCTAGAAGGCCCTTACTCTACACTTTATTCAACCTCAAGAACATCAAGGACTTTGTCCTGACCAACTTTCCATCATAACCATGGTATAGGAAAAGCAAGGATCTAAGAGCCACTGCCAACTGGTCCCACCTGATCCTGAACCTCTTACCAGCTGGTACTGGTGACTGTACAAGTCATGGCAGTTGTTGAAGATATACTCATAGGTGGAGTTCAAACAGGCCTTCACACAATCTTTTACCACCTGGCTGGCTCTTGGAGGACTCTGCAGTTCTTGCACCTGCCAATTAATAAAAGAAATATGGGTCCATGGTCCTGCTCACCTGTGCAGGATCTCCTCCTAGAACTCCCCTCAAACTATTCAGGTTCCCATCATCCCTCAAAGAGTCCTTGGACCTTGCCCAAGGATGAAATTGCTAGGATAGCTGATTGGGAGAACTGCCCATCCCATCTCTGTTGATCCATGGTCTTCTCAGATGTAACTCAGGGAAAGGTGTATGGAAATGTGGGCTTAGAGGTGACGAATACTATAGCTTCAGATTATACCCAGTGATTCTTATTCTCCATGTTCCTGTGGCCAGATCCCCAGCCCATCACCATCCCACCCAGTTCATCTTTTACCTTCATTCTGAAGAAAGTAATGCTGGTCAGCAAATCCACTGTTGACTTCAAGTCCTGAAGCCGCTCAGGGCTTCCAGCAGGGAAATTATTCTGTTGCAAATCAAGCAAATTTAAGAAAGGAACAGAGAAATACGAAAGCCTTCCCTCCCAAAAGCAATGAAATCAAAAGCTTCCTTATCTGCTACCCACTGGGATTTTCCCCAGTTGAGCTGAACAAAAAAGCTATAAAACTACACGTTTCCCTCTCTTTTCTACTGACAGACAGGCCCTTGCCAAAAGCAGGGGTTAATAATCCCCACCCCAGAAAGCAGCACTTCCTACACCAACCCTACTTCCCATGCAATGTGTGAGCATTTGCACAAGTGAACACACAGACACACACACACACACACACACACACACACACACACACACACACACACACACAATTTATATACACGCATTTTTCTTGGGTGAAGATTCTTACACCCAAACAGTGAGTTCTTCAAAAGTTATAATCTAACTGTATATTCTGCAATATAAGTGGAGCCACACTACAAACCAGACTGAGATCGAGGATGTGTATCTTCTGTGCAAGGGACCCCAGCTAGTCCACATTCCAGAGCCAGAAGATGGCAGAGTTCTGAGCAGAACTGCTTTTGGAGTGAGTTCCTTAGGACCTTCCCACCATGCCTCACTTCATTCCCCTTGGCATGAGTTTTAGGAGGAAGCTGCCAAGAAGAGCTGAAGGGAGATGTTGAGCCACTCTCCATTTTAAGGATTGCTTTTTTAAACTCCAAATGGCTACTTATATGCCAAATATAAGATATACAGTCAACTTTCCATTATTCATGCAAATGGAGGACACTGAAATTGCAAGATAATTAAAACTCCACTTCTTTTTGACTTTGAGGTTATTTTTATACTTACTTTTTAACGTGGGTATATTGCCTGTTCTGGAAATTTATGACACTTTAAGGCAAGTAATGAAGCCATTCTAAGAAGATCTAACTTAGGAAGAATTGGGAAACTGCCCATTTTCCTGTCCTGTCCTGTCCCAGGTACTCACCCTCCTAGTACATCTATTTCCTCCCTCCATCCTAGGAATGGATATGACCCCTGCTACAAATTACTTGCCCAAGCCAAGCTACTCATTACCTCCCTTGAAAAAGAAGGAGAGTATGGAAAAATACAAAAAAGAAACGTTAAGTATCTAATTCTTAAAGGGGCATTTCTGGAAGAGATTATCCTCAGGAGACTCCCTAATGAGAATGTCATCAGTAGTTGAATGGAGTGACATCAGTGGGGTTGGAAAGCCAACTATCTGTACAAAATTAGCCACACCTGCTGCTATTTACACACTGCATGCTCCTTGGAGTTTGAGGAACCACACATGTCAGTGGCATTGGCCATGTACGTACATGTGATGACATGGACCAATTTTCCTTGCCTTCAATCTTTATAGCCAAGATTGGACTATAGTCTCTCTAGAAAGAGCTTAGTATTATCTGTTATCCCACCTCACAGTCATGTCTTCACTCACCCTGTAGGTAGAGAGGTCAATTCTCAGTGAGTTGTGCAGCTGGTCCAGTAGTTTTACAAATCTCTCTTTCTAAGGGTAGGATACAAATAACAGGGAAGAGAGAAATAATCTGAGTTCCTTAGACTGTAGCAGAAACAGAACCATCTCTGGCTGAGGAGGAGACGTTGGTTTGGGGACACATCCTATCTCATCCCTGCCCAGCAGAAGAGCAACCAATATAAGGGAAAAGTGGGATGGGTGGCTCGTGTTCCATCTCTTAGCAACTCTATCTCAAATGAGATCTTCTCACACTGGCAAGGGGACAGGAAGCCCCTGGGAGAGGAAACAGCTCTTTCTATGTAAGAGTCAAAAGGAGATGATCCATGCTTCTCCATTCCTTTGGGACTCTAACTCTTCTTATTCAAATAAAAGGAAACTTGAAACAATTCTCTTATTTGTTCCTGAGTCTATGGTCTCCTAACTTACCTTGGGGCAGTTCAAAAACAGTTAAGTAGCCAGAGTCTAGCAGTAATGATAAGAGGGAGGAATACTCATTCATTTGGAAGGTGATCAAGCAGACCTGAGAGGGCTTCTCTTTACACCACATTCCATATTGTTTTTCTTAGTTTATACTTTTTAAAATGTTAAAATAAATAACATACACCATTTTAATAGTTGATTTTTATAGAAAAGATATAATTAAATGTGGAATCACATGCCTATAGACTTGGTATAGCACTCCTAGAATTCATATATTGGTTATATTATACATCGTTAGGTCTTAAGTTCAATATATAATGGGATGAGATAATGGAACACATATTTGAGTGGCTTAATCAATGCTGTTAATTCATCTATAGAAAGACTCTATTAAAATAAAAAAAGGTAGTTACTATCAAAAAACAGGGCTCAGAGAACCAGTAGATTTGGGAGTATCAGTAATGTTATTCCTAAAGAGGCAATCTTTGTGGTGGGTCAAAGAGACTTCAGTTTATATTGAACTTATGTCAGGTGATATTCTGAATAAAGATTCAACTTCTCAAGTATCTTAAAACCAGGAAAGGTCACATCCTGGATAGGGTAAACAGTCCAACACTAGAAAAGGGATAGGCTCAAGGAATATACTGGTATCATCGCTTAGACATCAGTCTCATATGAACTTGAGTGGGAGGAGTCAGAGAGAAACTGAATAATGTTAAGAAAGGTCCACTTGTGGTCTTGCAGGACTAAGGAACACAGTGACTCAACCAAGTTCTTGGCCTAGAGAGATTCTGTGTGGCAGCCCCCCGCCCGCCCCCCATAGTGGTAATATTCCACGTTCTCTCATTTATCCATGTCTGAGGAGAGTTCATTAGTAAGTGTGCCTATCCATAATGAAATAAGGACAGTCCATTAGCATAGTCGACATACCCATAAGGAAATAAATTCATCTATCTAAGTGGCAGCTCTGGTACCTACTGTGAAAAATCAAACTTTATTAATAACAAATGAGTAGGTATGTTTTTATATCACACTCACCCCAAAGTTGGAAGCTGCAAAGCGATCAGATGCAGAGACATTGGTGGAGGCGGTTGTGTGGGCATAGTAGGCATTGATGTTGGCCAGTAAGGTGCTCATCACTGCTGGCACACCAGGACACATGTACTTGGATGACAAACATGCAAAGTGCCTGAAAAACAGTATTCTTGGCCTCAAAGACTCTTCAAGGATTGCAGCAAAAAACAATCAGAAGAGCTTACTGGTGTGTATGAAGCTTCCAATCATTTTGGCATGCAAGAATCTTTGTAATTTATTCATTCAAATATACATTCAGTGAATGCCTACCATGTGCCAGGCCCTGTGCTAGGTGCTAGAATCCAAAGATGTGATAGCCTGGCAGAGAAAGCAAGAGTAAGAAAGTCAATAAGCCAAGGCATGCTCTGCAAAACTACTGTAGAAACATACAAGATCACTTAAATCAGAATGGTTGAGGGCTGGAAGGGATTAGAATAAGCCTTCTCAAAGAAGAGATGGTTGAACCAAATCTTAAAGGATTAGTAGGAAGTAATCAAATGGAGAAGTGTTCAGGCAAAGGGAAATTCCATTGCAAAGACAAATATATTCATGGCAGATTGATTCATTTGGGAAAACCTCAGTTATGGCTACTGTTCAGGTATATGATATAGGAATACCAAGAAATAAAAGAAGCATAAATAGTTAACAGAACAGTTTACCCTCAATACTATAGTATATTTTAAAATGAAGGCACAGTATGATCAGATTAGTCTTTCAGAAAGGCCCCTTTGATGATAAATTGGAGGGCGACTCAGATAAGACTAGGATGGAAAGAGCAGTTGAAGAGTTACTATAATCATTCAGAAAAGAAGCAATGAAAGCACTAAATGGAACAGAGAAATGGTTAAGAGTACAGACTCTAGATCAAGAGTGGGTTTGAATCTCAGCTCCACTATTTACTCAGTGACTTTGGATAAATTACTTAAACTTCTCTATGCCTCAGTTTTCTTACCTGTAAAATGGGAAAAATAATGGTACCCCCTCATAAATGAGTTAAAATTCATAAAATGCTTAGAACAATGCCTGGAACATAAAGAAATGTATGAGGGAGTTGTTATTATCATTATCGTTATTGTTACTATTGCACTATAGCAATAGTGATAGATTAAAAACAATTTTAGGAGATAGAATCCAGAGGTTTTAGAATTTTGATGTTGGAAGTCAAAGGGCAGTAGTAATTAAGAAAGAAAAGTTTAAGCTGATTCCTAAATTTGTGTGGACAACTGCATTTAAAATTGTTCCATTTACTAAAATAGGGAATATAGGAAGATAGACATATTTGGTGGAGATGTTGTTGATTTGGAAGAAGGAAAGCAGCTGAAAATGGATCTGAAATTCAGGAAAAGGTATGATCTGGAAAAAGAAATGGAGTCCTCAACCCAGAAGAACTGGTTAAGGTCACAGGTTTGGATGAGATCATCTAGGGAGAATGAACAGAGTAGGAACGGTAAGGAGGCCATTCTCAAACCTCATTCCTCACTGTATTTCTTCTCTCCACCTATAATGAACTTCTTGTAATTCCTTGAATGTTCTACTGTCTGCTGCATCTCAGCGCCATAGCACATGCCCTACCAGAAATGTTCTTCCACCTTTCCTGTATTTCAAGACTCAGTTCAAGTGTCAACTCTTCAATGGCTTCCCTCACATGCCTCCCCTAAAAGGTAGATGGTTTCATAATTCCCTGTTATTACTTCTACCATAGCACTTATCATATTATATTGTAATTGTTTGTTTACTGGTCTCTCCTTCCTACTGGACTGCGTTCCCCAAGCACAGAGGCCTCATCTTACTCCATCTTTGTGTTCTCAGCACCTAACATAATATATGACCCATAGAAGAAACTCAATAAAAATTTGTAGAATAAATGAAGCGTGTCCAGGGTAATAGTTACCTTCTGCTTACAGCTCTAGTGGCAGCCTCACCAACATACAAACAACAAACTCTTACATACTAGTATATACAAACTCTTCATAGTAGGCAAAATTTTCTGGCATAGGAGTCTTGCTCAACTCCAGACACAGCTGCTTTTTCTACAGTTTAGTGCCTTCTTCAACATCCAGGCCAATCTATGAAAGCTTGTCTATCAAACACATATACATAAGCACACATGCTGCATCTCCTCAGGCCTGTGATGTTTGGCCAAGTTTGTCCTGGTATACCCTCTCATGCCTTTTGCCCTTCTTATCTCTGCACTCTGGGGGAGACAGGTAAGTATCATCTCCCTGAATTACTGATAAATATACTCCCTTTATACATATATTTTCTTTGCCTTGGGGCATAGACCCACCTCACCTCAGCTCAGAGAGGAAAGCAACAAATCACTGTATACTACCCCACCTAAGGACCTATTTACCCTGTCAGTGTGCCTTCATTAGCCTCCCCAAGAATTAAAAGCCACTTCCCAAAGCCCCAGGGGAGCCTCACGTCATGGCCTGATATATGGACTCGATGCCATAGCGCATGGCAAATTCATCCACAATTTCTTGGGCAGTCTCATCAAAGTACACCTTCCATGCATCATCTCCTCGAGCCTCAGGAATCAGGACTCCTCCACTACCCTGAATGTCTGTGAGGTAATGGAAAAGGTTCTGCAGGAGACAGAGCAAAGGAAATAGTTAAATACATATTAAAAATAAAACTAAAATCTGGTGGTAAAGTCCAGGAGAATATGAATAGGGTTCCAAAGAAATTCTGTCAAATCATCGCTAGTTCCTTGTGTGGCCCAATAGGCCTTCACATGAGTGAAAGAGAACAAAGGCTGGGACTATTACTTGGGCTGTCCAGGGTAGCATGGTGAATAAAAACCAGGCCCCAAATCTTCAACCATCCCGCAATCCCATTTATTGTCAAAGGCCTTCCCAGCACTGCTTTCTGACACCCCATCTACCAAAGGGTGGCTCACCTCATGGAGACACGTATATTGCACATGATACGGTGCTACCTTCTCCTCCCCCTTGATCTCCACACTGATTTGTAGTCGGATAGCCCCTGAGACAGCTGATTTATCTGTCCTCTTCTCTAGGAAGAAAAGAAGACCAGAGATTGACACCAATGCAACTACAGATAGCGCAGACAGCCCCCATCCTGGCTTAATCCAAGGAAAAAGAGGCACTAATCCAAAGTTCACATAACAGAGTGAACTCACTCCAGCGACCACATAGTCTACAAATACCCCCAAATATTCCCAATATTAATTTCTTTTTATTTATTTATTTTTATTTTTTGGTTTTTTTTTCCAATATTAATTTCATTAAGAGAATAGGGAGCTAAAACCATTAGAGATGAGCATGAAGATTAAAGGGCCTCCTGAAATCTGAAGAATGGCTGAACAGCCAGACTGAGTTCCAGCCACTTCCACTCCTCTGTCCCCCATCTCTACTCATCGTCAGTTCTCTGCAGATAAGACAGGCTCTGTATGCTTTAGGGATTGAGTGATGGTTTTGGTAGGCAGGATTTTCCCCCAGATTTCCCATTCATGCTCTCCCTTCCCAGAAAATTTCTCTGGTCCTGTTTCCTCACCCAAGTTGTACCAGACGTCCATCTCGCCACTCAGTGTCCGGACCTCAATAATGGTTTGACCAAGGAAATCATCAGACTCTCGTTTAAGCCGCTGTTTTACTCTTGACTTGATGTCATCATCTTCATCCCATACACGTACCTTGATGCGGTCAGAAGAGTTGTGGCACTCACTGTGAGAGAAATAGGCAGGCTCTGTTAGGTACCAACCAAGCAGCACTCATTCTTATTATTACTTCCAATTCCCTCCCAAAGCTCCATCAACTGTACTTGAAGCCTTGTAGAGGAAATGAAGGAGTCAGGGAACAGTGGGTGTCAGCCTAGGTGGCTCTACATACCATTATCATACCATTCCTTATTGCCTTGACACAAAAAGTGGGGAGACAGAAGAGTAATTAGAGACCATTCTGATTTCCTGTGCAGCTAGCTGTATCAACAACACTAACAGGAAAACACCTGGACAAATGCTACAGAGCCACAGGAAAGGACTGCTAGTTCCCTTCCCAGAGTCAGTAAAGGTGTCAATGTTCATGGTATGTCAATCTGGTCATATCTGCTTAGCTTTCCATCTAGCTCCCCCCATCCATCTAGGTATGTGCTTGGTGAACTTCAATCATTCTTTAAAACCCAGGTGTGGGGCGCCTGGGTGGCGCAGTCGGTTAAGCGTCCGACTTCAGCCAGGTCACGATCTCGCGGTCCGTGAGTTCGAGCCCCGCGTCAGGCTCTGGGCTGATGGCTCAGAGCCTGGAGCCTGTTTCCGATTCTGTGTCTCCCTCTCTCTCTGCCCCTCCCCCGTTCATGCTCTGTCTCTCTCTGTCCCAAAAATAAATAAACGTTGAAAAAAAAAAAAAAAAAAAAAAAAACAAAAAAACAAAAAAAAAAAAAAACCCAGGTGAACTATCATTTTGCTCTATGAGGTTTGCTTTGGAAAAGGGAGTTTGGTCAGATCCCCCCTCACACTCTCCTTCCCTCACAGTTGCTTAGTGAGTGGGTCCTATTGCCTCATATAGGAGTTGTACTTGACTGAATTTGCTACTTCTTTCTCTGTGTTCTCATACTATTTTTGCACACTCCATTAAAATATAGTATAACTGTTGGTCTACTGAAAAACAGCCAAATCAACAAGGAGCTTCTTGAAGGCAGAGACTGTCTTACACATTTTAGATACACAATATCATCTACAGTGTCTTGTATAGAATAGGGGCTTAATAAATCATTTACTAAATGGATGAGAGCAGGCAAAATTGACTACAGAGTCAATTCATTTAAAATTCATCAGGGGGTGCCTGGGTGGCGCAGTCGGTTAAGCATCCGACTTCAGCTAGGTCACGATCTCGCAGTCCATGAGTTCGAGCCCCGCGTCAGGCTCTGGGCTGATGGCTCAGAGCCTGGAGCCTGTTTCCGATTCTGTGTCTCCCTCTCTCTCTGCCCCTCCCCCGTTCATGCTCTGTCTCTTTCTGTCCCAAAAATAAATTTAAAAAAAGTTGAAAAAAAAATTAAAAAAAAATAAAATAAAATTCATCATAAGAAGAATTCAAGCAGGAACCTCTCAGATTCTCAAAGGAATAGGTGCTGTCCCCAGTAACTATTGCCTCTGGACTTGAGGCCAATTTTACTAGGCCTCAATCCCTTTCCACGTTGAGTTCTCCAAGGAGCCAACAGAAGAAGATCTCTATATAACCAGCCTGTTCATTAGGTAATTCAGATTCTAAGTCCTGGTATAAGGTGTGTGACAAAGCACCTGGATTCTCCACACATTAGTCTGTGTCCTAGACTAGAGCTTGACATTTTTTCAACAACCATCTTGTACTGTCTTATGAAATAGTCTGTAAGAAAGTAAGACAATGGAAAAAGGAGTGGGGGTGGAAGCTGAGAAAGAAAAAAAAAGCAGAGCTTTTTAAGGGAAACAGAAACTTTTCCAGATCCCAGATTTCTATCTTCAAGCCAGAATTACCCAGTTGGAGGACACGGACATTGCTTCCCAACTCTCCAGAAGAGTCTAATCCTTCCTAGGCAGGATAGCAAGGCTGAAAGGTACACAACAGGGTGGCTAGTTCCTGGCTGTCACTGAGCAGTAGTAAAATCTTTCTAACGCTAGAAAAAGCAGTATGGAGTGCCCAGGAGCCCCTGATACAATAGCCCATGAGAAGAAACCCAGAAAATAAATGACTGCTGCCCAATTGAATCCTATGAGAAATAGGCTTCTCCAGTACCTCTGGCCCATCCCTCTTTGTTGAAAGAATTTTTATTTATTTAAAGTAATCTCTACACCCAATGTGGAGCTCAAAATTATGACCCCAAGATCAAAAGTTGCATGCTCCACTAACAGAGCCAACCAGGTGCCCTGCCTCATCCCTCTTAGGGTCCAAGCCAAGGATAATAGGACTTAATGCTGCTTCTAAAATACACATAGTCCCAGGTAAGACAAAACCCTCTGTTACTTACAAATGGAACTTCTCTTCCCAAACAGGGTTCAGATTCCCAAAAATAGTCTTGGTACGCTTCTTGGTTTTGCCCACTTGCACAGTCACGTAAGGGTCACTGGATCCTGTCTTGTCCTTGGCTTGTAGGCCCTGGGCACACACCACTGCAACCCAAATATAAAGGAGGAGGCTTCAGAGTGTGCTCTACAAGTCACAAGTCTTCCATAGTACTACTCATATGCTCTCCATCTTAGAGCAGCCTCCATCTGCTCCTTGAACAGGAACACGAATCTTCTCACTCTTCCATATCTATGCTTAGCCCTGGGCTGCCAGTCTTTCTCTGAAAGGCTGGCCCAAGAATCCCACCTCCTCACCAGTGCCTTAACTGACCACCTTCCCCTACATTGATATATACGTGCTTCAGCCACACCCACTCAGCTAGTAAAGCACTAGCTTATTTCCTGATCTCCTACTATACCATTGCCCACCCCCCCCCAGCTCTTATAATATCAAACTGTTAACCAAGTCTATAACATCAGATTGTTACCAAATCCTTCATTATCATTCATATCATTCGTAGGTGCTGGTCTTGCTCTCCCAACACCCAATGGCACCAGGCTCTAGGAGAGGAGGAGTGATGAACAGTAAGGCCCTCCTTCCCTCAATTCTACCTTCTTTCTCTCCAGCCCCCTGCTCCCTCAAACTCAGAATGCTTCTTCCCCAGGTTCCTCCCCATAGTCTAGGCCTTCCTGTCCCCTCAAACCTTGGCCTACTCACCAGTGATGGTAATCTTGGCCGACCATTTGGAGGTGCCATCCAGTACACTCTGCTTCACTGTTTTCATCTGTTGCACATGGGCAACTTTGCTCACAGTAAAGACATCCCGGATAACTTCAAAGATCTCTGGCTTATTCCGCTCTCGGATCTTCATGCGGTCCTTCATGGCCATGATTATGTTCTGGGTCCGGTCCTCAGCTCCATGTTTAGAACTCTTTTCTGCAGCCCCTGAAGGATCGTCAGAAATAGAAAGATAACCAATAGGCAACCCACCAGACAAAGGGTCAGGCTGAAGAATGCAGCTTAACAGAGGTCACTAAGAAGTGGAAGAAGCTTAAGACTGGGATAGCTCTCCGAAGAGTTCACCAATATGGGACCTGCTGAAGTTTAACGCTTGGCCAGTGGAATTTAAAATGCAACTCAAAGGGCAGCACAATCTTGGTAATTATTATGGGAGTTTATTATACTATTTCCTGAATTTTTCATAAAAAAAAGAAACAAACAAAAAAGTTTAGCTCAGCCTGCAGTTGACCTTGTCTTTCTTCTACCCTAGGTGGTGGTTGAGAGTTACCCTTCAAGTTTAAGGCAAAAATATCCCCAATGGGTATTGCAGTTATCAGGGAGGGTTGGTGGATGGGCATGACAACTCCACCAATCTCATCCGACTTCCAAACCATGACAGAGATCCCAGAATTCATCATGGCACACACTGGATTCTGCCTCAGGGCTCTAATGCCTTTAGTCTCAGAAAATATGTAGTATGGTAAAAAAAAAAACAGAGCAGACTCGTCTGATGTATTTCATCATATGGGCTTGTCAGAAAGGGGCCAATCCTTCCTTTACTGGCTCTGCAGATTGGTTTTTATCTCTATTCTCCAAAGACGTAGGTCTTTTCTACAAGACCTGGAGCAAAAATTAAGGCCAACATCTGAATCCTAACCCTGAAAAGATGGCAAGCAGATCTGTCCAGGGAAGGCCATAGAAGGGCATTTCATTCCACTCCTCACTTCACAGAAGCCTTAGGCAAAAGATACTTTCTGATAAATGAAAATGACCTGGGTTGCATCCTAGTCTTGCCATTTAGCATATCCCATACACTGCTACTTTCTTGGACTGGGACCTCTGGAAGGCCCTTGAGGAAAGGATTGACACACTTGCTATGGAGCAGCATTTCAGAAAGTTTCCAGCAAGCAGCCTATGCAGCCTGCCTGGCTTCTAGTTCTTAGTAATTAAAGCAAGAGTCTGCTGGCACCTGTGCTTGAAACCCCTTATGATGGATTTGGGCAATCATCACCAGCATTCATCTTCAATCTTTTCAGAGCCCCATCTCTTCCACTGACTTGTTCTACCTGTTTCTTCATGTCTGCTATAGCTATGCCACTGGCACAAATCTAGGGCCCTCCAAACGAAGACATTTTAAGTGAACAATTAGTTGAGGCCTCTCCCTGGGCCCCATTTATGTCACATATCTTTCTTGGGGATAATGAAGTGCTTCTGAGTCTAAAGGTGTCCCTTCTTTCTCCCCATAATCCTTGAAGTTTTCATTGCTATGACTTGGCTCTGAGTAAAATGTGGAAGACCTGAGGGGCAAGAAAATACATTCCCACATCCCTAAACCCTGCTCCCCCAGAGGTCCAGGCACAGTGGTTACAAGTCCTGCAGGAACAAAGCAAGGAGACAAGAACTTGGAGGGCTACTAACTCCTTCGGCAGAAACTTGTTCCTTTTCCTGCTCCTATTCTCCCCACTCCATGATGGTAGCACAAATCACCTATTTAGTCAGGGCCTGGGAGTCTGGCACATTCTCCTCTGGGACCTCTGCCTGATCCATTTGTCACTTCTGTTCCCAGCACTGTTGTCTAAAACCTGCATCTATAGGCAAGGAATAAATGCTGCCTTCCCTGGGTCCTAGAGTCTATACCTCAAGAGGTTATTCTGTGAAGCCTGGAACCTCACAGAACTCTCTCTTCCCATTAGTTTTGGTCCCCAATTAATCATGCTCTAGTCATTTGGGCGATATGGTCACTGCAGTGTGTACACTACTCAAGCACAGCTTCTGGGATCACCTGAATCCTGGAAGAGATTCTAGTTCTGCCAGAGGGCCACAGAAAGCTCGAATTTGTTTTCCAAAAGGTGCTTAAGACAGTGTGTTGTAAGATCTGTTATTTGGAAAGGCAATGCCCCTTGACTCAGGACCCTAGTTTCTTTGAAAAAGAGAGAACTTCATAATCAGGTAGACTAGAGGAATGATAGTTGAGCCATCCTAGCTCTTTGTTGCAAGACTATTTGGGAGAGGGCCTGCTGCCTCTGCTCTATACCCCTCATCCCACAGGGACACTCACGTTGCAGGCAGTCGGCGTTGAGCAGATCCTGGCACTTCTCATGGCACTTGACTCCACACTCACTGCAGCGCATGCCCTGCCGGGCAATGCCCCAGAGCAGACCTTCACACTCATAGCAGTAGGTAGGGGTAGTGGCCGTCCAGACCTCAAAGTTGTGGGGTGTGGTACACGAGATGGGGTAGATTAAGGCCTGCAGGGTTTTCTTATACACGTGGGATTTCTGAAAGACACATACCCCATCACCCGCCAGCAACTTTAGGTCTCTAAGAGATACCAGAACTGAGATCCCTGCAGGGTAATCAAGACCCTGGTTTCTCCTCTGGCAATAAAGGAAATACTCTAGCCTGGCCCAGCCCACAGCCAAGAAGCCCCTGGAAGAAAGAAGCTTCTCAATGTCATGTGCTCCTGGTCATCCAAGAGAGATCTGACCCAAATGCTACATCTGAACCTTTTCCCAGCATTCAAGCTTTCTAAGAAAACAGAGGGTACTAGGCCCACCATATAACCCTGAGTTCAGTGGTCACATACTCCAATGTAAGACTTGGGCTTACCTCTGTTCTGACCCCTTGCCTCTTTTAGTATGGAAAACTCAGACACAAAGCTATTTATCTGTTTCATTAACAATGTGTGCCTAACACTCATGAATTCTCAGAGTGGCTACCAGTCTTCAGGCCAGTGAACTCATGACAGCCCGTGGGTCACTTACCAGCTCTTCATCTTTGAGAGATGTGCGTGTAGCCATTGCAGAAGTAATCCCTGCCTTCCGGGACTGGACCAATGACTATGAGAGAAGACCGGCTGTCAGCCCTGGCTACTGCCAAGGGCTGGCAAATTCCTGGCAAAGGAGTTTCAGTGACCAAAGTGATTTGACTGTTTGACTTACTACCTTCTAATTTTACTGTCATTCACAGGAACCACCCATGGGTAACAGATAATAAGAGTACCAAACAAACTGAGGGTTGACAGACGATGGGGGAGAGGGGGAAGTGGGTGATAGGCATTGAGGAGGGCACTTGTTGGGATGAGCACTCGATGTTGTATGGAAGCCAATTTGACAATAAATTATATTAAAAAAAAAAAAAGATCCAAAACACAAGGCCCTTAGGAGACTATTCTAACAATGTCAGAATGACACTTCTCTTAGGGTACCTATCATCCAAAGACTCTCTCTTTCCTTCACTCTTTTTAGGTTTCCCACCCCTTGTTTATAGGAAGACAAAAGAAAATGATAAATTTAGAATTACAGTAGGAAATACATCATTAAGAATAGAATAAACTAGGGGCGCCTGGGTGGCGCAGTCGGTTAAGCGTCCGACTTCAGCCAGGTCACGATCTTAGCTTGATCCGTGGGTTCCGAGCCCAGCGTCAGTCAGGCTCTGGGCTGATGATGGCTGCCGGGCCTGGAGCCCTGTTTCCAATTCTGTGTCTCCCTCTCTCTGCCTCCCCGGTTGCTCTGTCTCTCTCTGTCCCAAAAATAAATAAAAAACGTTGAAAAAAAAAATTAAAAAAAAAAAAAAGAATAGAATAAACTATGTCATAGCCACATTTAAGAACCATCACTGAGGGGCGCCTGGGTGGCTCAGTTGGTTAAGCGTCCGACTTCGGCTCAGGTCATGATCTCACGGTTCGTGAGTTTGAGCCCTCGTCCTGTCTTTGACAGCTCAGAGCCTGGAATATTCAAAATTCTGTGTCTCCCTCTCTCTCTGACCCTCCCCCATTCATGCTCTCTCTCTGTCTCAAAAAATAAATAAACACTAAAAAAAAAACAAAAAAAACCAGAACCATCACTGAGAACAATTTCATGCTATCCTTTATCCCTGGGTACCACCCCATGCCCACACAATCCCAGGTGGCTATAGAGGCCAGCAGCCCAAATGAGCAAGATACTCAGCTAAAGGGGCAACATAACCACAGTCAAATCAACCAGGGCAGGGGGTTAAGTCTGAGAGCTGGGACTGCTCTGCTAGCTAAGCCCTTGTGTAGAGGGGCCTCATGTTATCTGCCAAACCCAAGCTTTAAGAACAGCCCCCAGAGGGTGGACACTGGGTAGACAGGAAGTGTATCAGCCTAAACAGGAAAAACAGTTGGGAAGGGCCCAGGTGGTTTGAGATTCTTAAAGAGGATGGAAAGGGGCTCTGGAAACACTCACCATAGCCTGTGCAGAGGAGAGCAGAGAAAGGAACAACAGGATGTTAAAGCCACCCCCAAAAGCATGAAAAAACTTGCAGAGGCAACTGGGAGGTAGTCTTCCCAGTAGTCTGATCCATGTAGGGTACAACATCCCAACCCCCTCTGCCTCTATCCACTAAAAATTATCTTCAATCCAGCCAGCTATCCAGCGCCTAGAGCTTCTACTCTAAGGAGAGTTATGCCAGAAAATGAAATATAGGCAAGGTTAAAATATGGAGGATGAAAGTAGGACATGACTAAGATACTGCTATCCAACTAGTTAAGCAAAGAAGAGCTGGTGTACAAAAAGGTGGGGTGGGGTAGAAGCAGAGAAAAAGTATGAAAAGAAAAAAGAGATGCAAGATAATGAAATAAAGTAATAAAGAAGAGATGACATCAAAACTCATCTTCATCCAACCAGCTTGATGGTAAAAAAGAGAGGTATATTAGAAAGGAGGAAAAAGAGAAAGGAAAAGATACACAAGCAGTAGGAAAGAAAGGAAGGAAAGAAAAAAAAAACAACAAGAGAAAATGGCAGAGGATAATTCCATTCAGCCAACTAAGGAGAGAGACACTGGTAGAGGGGAAAAAAGCAGGAAATGAAGGAGAAATGGGAAAAGGAGTGCATAGAAAAAGCAAAATAGACTGAATGGGGGGTGGGGACAGAAAACAGGAGCAGAAAATGGTACTAAGAAAAGGGGTTCAAGTCTTACTAAACTTCTAGCTTTTGAGCTCTAGGATTGTGGGGAACCCTGGCCCCCACTTCACCCCTCACTACCCACTAGGCTATGCAAAATTCCTTGAGTTGATCCTGCCACAGGAGGTATAATCCAAGATGGGAGCTTCCAGTCATCCTGGAGGTCCTGAGATCAGCTTTAACTCTTAAGCCTGTTTCAATTCAATTCTACAATTTTTTATCATTACCTCTCAGTGCCAGACTCTGAGTTAAATACTAGGGACACAAAAATACTCCACCAAGTCTATGTCTTGGGAGGAGACCATCACTTTATCTGTAAGGAGTAGCATCAGTGGTGCTCATTGCTAAACTCAATGATCTAGGTCAGGGCTAGAGGCGATTTCCATTCCAGGTCATCAAAAGAGGCTACAGAGAAACCCAGAGGAATAAGATACCTAGAAGACAACTCTGGTTTGAGATAACCCAGGTTTGAGGGCCCAAGCTATAGTTCCAGGTAGGAGCTTTAGCTAATGAAGAACCTGGGGCTCTAATAAGGAAATAAGGTCCAACTAAGGTCTCATCACTAAGTCTCAGTAAAGCTTTAAATGATTGATCTTCAGACCAATATTTGTCACTAAATGGACCACTACCAGTCCTGATAATATGCCATGGCCTAATGGGAGATACCCCAACCCTATAGCCTAAGTCTTCAAAGAGTCACTCACCAGATCACTGACAAGTGGCAGTGGCTTCTTTCTACGTAGATCTGGCATGCTGTCAATGCCATAGAGCCCTCCAGCTGGCCTAAGGGGAGAAGAAAATATGTCAAGACTTGTTATGGCAGGTTCAGTGTTCTATTCTCCTTGCTCACCCTCTCCCCAGAGGAAGATGAACTGATTTCCACCATGTGCCTTTGAGAGGGGTAAGGAAGACACAAAGTGAGAGAAATAACACCATGGAATGATGAGCAATGGAATCTGCTCTCGGGGTGCCCCTCCATGTTTCCTTCTATAATTTCAGCCAAAAACAGAGAGATATTTTATCCCACAAGGACACTTCAAGGCACCTCTGTTTACTTGAAGGCCCTTGTGCTGCATAATGCAAGGAGGGAATTGGTAGTTACGAGGGCCCCTCCCTAGACTCAGGCCACAGACTCTACTCCCCAAAGGTAAGTGTTTCCTGGCCTGTGCTAGAACAGAGCCCACAGGAATGGCTCTACAGAAGAGCTGCTGCCTACGTGAGAAAGACTGCTAATGATATGTAGAAGGAGACTTTCTCTATCCTGAGTAAAAGAGTCACCACTTCTGTCCATTCAAGCATCCTGAAGAAAAAGGTCTCCATGAAGAGGAGCTTGCATAACCAAGTGGAGGGAGGATAAGTGGGATAGGAGACTTCCAAATAACCATTTAGAGGGGGAAAGAAACAAAATTTAGGAAGGAAACAAAAGGACTCTGAAAGTCTAGCCTAGCCCTGTGGATACATCAGCAGGGACCAGGAAAAAAAGATTACAGTTGGAGCAACTGGAGATTTCTAAAACTTTTATACCATTTCTATGCATTCTGTTGTTCTTTGCCATTTCTTCCATAATTATATGAATAAAATTACAGAGAACATCCTGGAACACCATTCTCACAATGAGATAACCCGGGTTTTAGACCCAACTTTTCTACTAACTCACTCTATGTCCTTTGCCAAAATTCCTTCCTTTCTTTGGGTCTTGACGCCAATTCTATAAAACAAGGGGAATGAACTACAAAATTTTTCCAACCTTTTAGGAGTTGTCATTCCGAACCTCAAAGAAAAGAACTCATATACTTGGCTTTAATGAAAAGAAGGAGATGGGGAAGGTGGTAAGGTAGTTACATGGTATACCATAACTGATCTGAAAAGAGACATGCTTCAGAAAAATAAGTAAGTACTGCCAGCAAGCTATATAGGTAAAGAATGGAGCCATAAATTAGATCAAGGCCAAGAGTTGGAACAGACAAGCTGCTATGTTGATTTCTAATAAACTAGCTTCCTAAGCACAGGAAATGAACTTTGCTTTCAATGAGACTACCAGAGCTAGGGAAGTTCTCAACTTGTGACAACTTCTAAGGACTAAGCTGAAGGAAAGATGACAGGAAGGCGTTTAGAAAATCAGTGCATGGCCCCATTTAAAAATAGCTTAGATATGTTCCATTATCATGTATGTATTTTATAATCATTAGAAACAAAAGCTAAAGTCCTGAGGAAGGGCTGTTGAAGTAGCAAGTTTGTGGCTAATTCTAAAAACTATAGTATGCACCACTCAAGTTTCTTGCAACATAAATGAGCTTTAGACAAGAGAAGGATAGCTTATTCCCATGACCTATTAAAAAAAAAAATCACAAGGAAAAGGAGTATGTAAAAATGTAGTAGGTAACTTTATGATCTGTTCTTATTTCTTCCCTGATCATGAGGGAGAGAAGGCAGCCACTGGAAATTCTTATGTCAGAAGAACATACGTCTTATGTCTCCTTTATGGGACAAGGAGAAAAGGAAGATCCTGAGAAATAATGGACAGTGTATGTGCCAGGGAGAGGTGGGGGAGGGCACTTAAACTCTTTTCTCTCTTGGGAATAGTCAGTTATAGACAGCAGTTGAGCAGCTGAAAATGACTCTTTGCTGCAGTCACATGGGTGTGAAACTCCCAAACAAGAAGCACAGACAGAACACACAGAGCTCCTAAGGGATGCTACTTATGTCTTGACAAGAGTAGAATGGAGTAAGTAGGTGACTCACAACAGCTGAAGCAGGACAGAGCCCAGAGAGTAATCAGCTACACTATCAACAATGGAATAAAAGAGAACTGTGTCAAATGCAGATATTTTTCTAGTTTCCTCTTTTATACCTAAAAGGGTTATCACTAACTATGATGCATTGAATCAAATTCTAGAGGCAAAGATAGGGAAGCCCCAAAGCTTCCTCCCCTGCTTCAGGGGAACCATGCTATAAAGCTCTGTCTTCTGTCTTTGAGGAGTCAATCTGCAAAGTTCTCCCCTCTCCTCAGAGAACCAACCAATCCCTATAGCAGAGACTCTTCTTTCCCAGGATCCAACTTATGGAGTGTTTTCTACTGTTTCTCAGGGGGAAGCTAGAAGCAGCACGAGAGACTGTAAAATCCACAGAAACCTTGTAGGGAATCACTTACCCTCCTGGGAGCCACTGGGGCAGAGAGGGGTTACCATCATCTGGAATCTTTAAAAAGAGATAGAAAAAAAGTTAAATCCTAGAAAAGATGGGAGACAGCCATATTTCTTTGGTCAGGCAGTAAACAGTAAAGTAGGAATCTCAGAGAAGAGTAGGTCACATACACAATGTGGTGACATAGCCAGACTGATGTCTAAGCAAATGCCCTGATGAGCCAGAGCAACAAGCAGGTTGCCAAAATGAGTGCTACTTTGTCTCCCTTCTCCCCAGTGAATAGGAAGGATATAAGGTCAAGCTCTAAGGCTAAGGTCCACTGGGAGTGTGAGAACTATCAGAACTTCTATCCCCCTCACACAATTCACTGGCATATATAACAGTAAGCCAAGGCCACAAAAAAAAAAAAAAAAAAAAAAAAAAAAAAAAAAAAAAAAAAAAAAAAAAAAAAAGATCCAGTTAGGCTTCCAGGCCTCGCTTAAGCAAAAGGACCACTTCATACAGAGTCTGGCCTTCTTCTAGGTATATTCCTAAATTCCCTTAGCTATCACAGAGTGGTGACTTGGTCCTTCTGGACTCCCATCTCATCTTGTGATTTGACTTTGTTCAGGTTCCTTGAAGCCCTAACTCACAGACATTCTACATTTGATAAGGTCTCTATATATATAACAAGAAAACCCAGGGCAGGTTGGATACTTAGATTATCATTCTGGTGCTGTTTATGAGCTCTATAATGAGAAGTTGAAAACTGAGGTACCAAATAATTCAAAGAAGAAACTGCCTGAAAACAGTTTTTAAACGTTTCTCCACAAACAAGCAAAAAACCAAAACCAAAACAAACAAAAAACCCAAATCAAACATTAAAAAAACACACACAGAAAAAAAAGCAGTGTAGACAGAAAGTTCCAAAGCTTCTAGGGCTTTCTAGAGAACCAATGGTAAATGCTGTTTAGGCTCAAACAGAGCTAGTGCTAGCAGGTCTGGGGCTTTGTGCCCCCTTCTTGTCCCCTAAACTCCCCAAAACTTTCCTGCCTCCTAAAACCTGGGGTCCAGTTAACTATCCTGGACCAAATGTGCTCCAGGACAAGGGAGACAAAAGTAAGGTATTTAACTTGTACAGGGGGTAAAGTTTTGGGAGGGCCCTGGCTGGGAGAAGTTATGGATAAAATTAGGTAAAACAGAGTAGAAAAGGGAGAGGTAGGACAGGCATGGTGTTGGGTAATGTAAAAGTGGGTAAGAATTACCCTGGGTCAGCAGTAAGGGTCAAGATGAACTTTGGATGTAAGACCCTTCTCAGACCGTTCTCAGGTTGTCTGGACTCTAAGTAAGCTTATCTGCCTATTGACTACAGCCCTTCACGAACCCATTTCACCTTATCTGGCTCTTGCCCTGATTCTGTGGGTGAGATGATACTGGCAAAAGGACAGCCAGGCCCCAAAAGAAACCAGAAGTGGATAATGCAAGTCCCCTAAGGTTGCTTTTGAGGGGTAGCCTATCCCTAAATCTCCAGATCCTACCACACAGAACTTACCTTCCCTTTGGAAACAGTCACTGTACTGAGCAGATTTTTATTTCCTACCTAAAATTAGATGTTTGCCAAAAACCACTGACCTTAAGGAAACAAAGTCACAAAAAGTCTCTGGGAATCAGGGTTCAACAAACTCAGATCATACACATTTCCTGTGCTTAGAGGGGACAGTGGGTCTGCAGAAGCCTGCAGACAAAAGCATAGAGCATGCACACACAGGTACTGAAGGAGGGTTGTGAGAATGAGAGGTGGTCTAGATAAAGTACCTACAGCGGGTACATTCATAGACACAACTTACGCCTGAGAGAAACACAAGGTGATCATGGATCCTGCACACAGGGCGATAAAATATGTGCGCACACCCATTCGAAAAAGGATATTCAGTGTTCATCCGGGCCTGAATCACAGGCAAAAGCAAACCCTCACAGTCTTCAAGAACCAGTGCACAGCATGATTTATACAATGCATTCACATGGCATGGGGGAACCACATCACAGGTCTACAGAAGCTTGTGTTCACAGAGAGACCAAGAAACCTGCTCACAAGCACAAAGCACATTCACACTTAGGGCCCCAGGCAAGAGGCACAAAATGCCTACAGCAATTCCTGCTCTCAAATACAAAGTGTATGCATGCTGGGCTCAGCAAGGGTTTACAGCATATGCCAACCTGCAGCAACAAGCAAAAAATGGACAAACACTGTGCAAAATAGAAGAGAAGGGCAATCAGTGTTTGGGGGAGTCAAACTGAGTACAAGTATAAGCACACACATGCTACATTGAATGTGCACCATGCTGGCACACACATTCTCACACTGTGCTCCAGGGACGTCTGCAGGAGCATACACAAAAATGGAGCATGCCCACAAACTGCTTTTAAGGAAAAACAGACTATCTACATGAGCCAAAGCTCAGAGGCACAGATCACGTGTGTGTGTGCGTGCATGTGTTCGTCCACACGCACACGCGCACGCGCACACACACACACACACTGTGCTCAGGAGAGAAGGGTAGAAGATAGACAACACAAAGGACCCAAAGGGCCAGAGGCACAACCTGAATGGCTCCTCGCTTTCCTTCTGCAAGGAGAGAGAAAGCAGGGAAAAAAGGGCAGAAAGGTTAGTAGATTCAGTCCCATAGCACGGAACCCAAAGAAAATGCCAGCTAAACCTTAAGGGACATGGAGGAAAGGAAGAGATCCTCTGAACAACTGGTTAGTTCACAGAGCCTAACTCCCAGAATCCTTACCTCCCCTATTGACTGGCCCCTCCTTTTAGTTTAGACCATTCCTGGTTTGGCAACTCAAACTAAAGGACAAAGCCTGCCTGGGGATTTCAATCACCTTTCTTCCCTTTCCAAAGTGGCCTGCATGCAGCATCAAGGAAACCAGTGCCACACACTTTGTTACCAAGGGTCACTCCAACAGGCTATCTGAGCTGGGCTAAGCACAGAGGGAGTTCCTTCCTTGGAAGCTACATGAGCTCACTCTGGATCTGGGATAAGTCCTCAAATGCCAAAGGCCTGGTGACTGAACCCTTTCCATTTCACAATGCAGGCCATGCATTTGCCCAGTAACCCTGGCCTGTTTTCCCAAAGCCTAAGTTAAGTTAGGCCAGGTTAAGGCCTGGAGTTAAGGCTAGGACCGGGATACTCAAAGGCCATAGTTGGGGGCATCAACTGGCCACTGACCTACAAAGTTACCATGATCTAGATGACAAAACCGTGATGGCAACTCCAGGCCTGATTATCATTAAATCCAGAACAATTCTCCAAAGGAAATTGATGCTTCCAGAAGGGCTTTAGCAAGTCACAGTAAAGGAAGATAAAGTCCAGAAATTACTCCTCCTAATCATCAGACTACATTGTCTCTAGGCCACATATGGATAGCTCCACAGGTTTCCTTCTCTAAGGCAAGTACATTCACCTGGGCTGATCAGCTACCCTCTTTCTTTTCCCTCCCTTTTTTTTTTTTTTTCAACGTTCATTTATTTTTGGGACAGAGAGAGACACAGCATGAACGGGGGAGGGGCAGAGAGAGAGGGAGACACAGAATCGGAAACAGGCTCCAGGCTCCGAGCCATCAGCCCAGAGCCCGACGCGGGGCTCGAACTCACGGACCGCGAGATCGTGACCTGGCTGAAGTCGGACGCTTAACCGACTGCGCCACCCAGGCGCCCCTCTTTTCCCTCCCTTTTAAAGATCCACTGACATTACATAACAAGTAAAAGGGAGAATCATAAAAACTAATTCCTAAATTTCCAATTTTTCACCTATTTTTGATGACTTAATGGGTCACCTGACCTGACAGAAGAGTTAATTCAGGAATAGGAATCCTCCAAAATAGTGCAGCTATAGGAAGGTGAATGAGATGCAAAAGACACTTGCTGGAATGGGTCATATCTCTCCTACATTTACACCCACCTCCCTTATTGTATGTATTCTGCTGTCTTTGAAAATGAAAATTAGGCAAGGAACACTTTAACTGACCCTGTGATTCAAATTGGAAAGGTTTCTCTCCTCCTCCACTATCTTGAAAATACACTGTATACATCATGTCAAAGTTACTTTGTGTCTTTCTGTTCTTCCCAGAGTTCCCCATAATACCTAAGAATCTGCTGACAAGGCTCTCCATACATATATACAATTTTACCCTTGTAGCCTGAGGGCTTAGCACATCTCCCAGCATTTGTATGTAGTTAAAGGAACTGAACTTTGAGGACTTAGAAAACAACAGCTTCTCAGAACACGTCTTTTGCTAATCACCAGAGAAAAACGTAGGTCTGTTAGCCAGTAGCCTGTACCATATTCCAGACTGCAAGGAACTGCTGTATTAGCTCTTTAGTTTGTCCCACCCACTGGACAAATATAACAAAACCTTTTT